TACATTCACATGAGAATATGCCTGAAAAACTTGCAATCATCTCTTCCAAAATCAAATGATTTTAATAAATCAGTCCCAATCATTCATGCCATGGCTGATGACAATCATCGCAATGGAGTTATTCATGAATATTAAACTGCGTTTGAACAGGTTTGCAACATCACATGAGACTGAGAGTTCCTTAGTGTACGAGTGGAACATTCAACATCATTCACTCGACATGTATTTTGTCATTCTTACAATTTCAACATCACTGGCATGTCACCGGCACTGCCTTGGCATGGCTTTGCATGCAGCAGTGCTACGGCATATGCATGGTGAATTGCACCGTGTATAACCTCTGTAACTGTACCACATGCGCGTGTATGTGTGCGAGAAACTGGACCCGCTTAGTATCATTTATTTCCCCATTTTCTATGATTATTCATTTCCATTAAGTATCCAATCTAACAAAGCAACTTTTATTGTACAGTGAAAATTAATTTAAAGTTACATTTATTTCTGGAAACATTCATAATTTTGTGACAATTCATTCACTAACCCGGGAGCGTGCATACGACCCATGATGGCGATTTGGTGAAAAGACCGACCATGGATTGACACTTTCAAACCGTAGATGGCGTTTTTACCAAATTTCCTTGAATCTCTCAAATGCAAAGCCAGAGAGCCATATTAGATGACTTTAGGTGCCAAAACATGGGTCGGTCGGTCGGAAATCTTCGTTTTTTTTAATACTTTTTTTCTTCTTTTTTCCCTCTTTGGGCTGATATTTCAAAGTTTTGAATGCTTTAATGCTTTAATATTTTTTTTGTTTAAAAAATGGTTAAAACAAACAAACTTCAAGATTGTGTATGGGGACGGTCGCAAATTAGGGCAATACATCATCTTTTGTTTAGACCATATTTATATTAAAAAACAGAATCTATAAAAATGTCACCGGCCATTGTATTATATTTAAACTTAATAACACACACACAAAAAAATCGACGGAATTAAAGGGAGGGGGCACAACTTATACCGTTTTAAATAAAAGAAAAGTTTCCACTCCAGGCCACCCCCCCCCCCCCCCCAACCCCCCATAAAAAAAAATATATATATAATGAATAAATAAATGAATAAACATTCTTCCATTTGATTTTCCATTTTCTTTCTATCTTTTTGAAACCATAGTATGTACGTGGTGGCATTTCCTGAACTGAACCCCCCCCCCCCCCCCCCCCCCCCCCCCCTAGCTTGCCTCTTTTCTCTCACCGTGTCAACTAGTTTCCTGTCCCTAGTTCGATTCTATTTTCCTAAATGACTTTTATAGAACCCGATGTCTCCACTTTCTCTCTTACCTTAGTTCTTTTGTCCTTTTCTGGATTCCCACTATATATAATACTTAATATTTCTTTTTCCGGCCGTCTCTCATATTGTCTGTCCGTTTTTAATTGTCTCTCCCTCCGTCTCTGTCTCTCTCTTTCCCTCTTCCTCTCCCCGGTTTTTCTTCTCTCATGGTTAGTGAGGTGATTTTAAGTTCACCCATTTAAAAAGACTTTCCATTCTTGCTGCCATATTTACATTACCCGTAATTGCTAGATTTTTTTCACATGACTGTTGCTACCACTATTGTGATTTTTAACAATGTATCCATTATATATTATGTATATATATATATATATATAACCCTACATGGTACAGTCAAAACTCTTCTTCGGAGTATTTAGGAGGAAAATAATCCAAGATCCAAGATCCATGCAAGTGGACATCATAAAAATCCTAACCCTAACCCTAACCCTAACCCTAACCCTAAAACCTAACCCTAAACCTAACCCTAACCCTAACCCTAACCCTAACCCTAACCCTAATGTCTACTTAATGACTCATTTTTTCACTCCCAATGTCCTTCCAATGACGCCTTTAGTAAATTTACATATAGAGAGGGATATATAACAAAATTGGGCCTTCCACAACAAATAAAACGTAAAAAACGTTAAGAGGACACCAAATTGTCCTCCTAATCACAATGTCTACTTAATGACTCATTTTCACTCCAACTGTCCCTCTAATGACGCCTTTAGTAATATATATATATATATATATATATGATATATGATCACATAAAAGAATCTACAATTCGGTCCTTTGGCCGCCAATGACTTCTCATTAATAAACCGTCTTCTCTCTCTTCTTCATGTTCTTTCTAATGACCTCTGTCCATTATTTTATTTGATTTCATTTAGTCTGTTTAATGACGTAATTGGACAAATGTATGTGATCAATTAAGAAAGAGATAACAGGGAGAGGAACGATGGAGAGAGAGAGAGAGAGAGAGAGAGAGAGAGAGAGAGAGAAGAGGGCAGAGACAGAACTTAATAGAAACGCTGGGAGATGGACAGAGAAAGAGCATGGAAAGAAAATAAGGGGGATCAAAAGAGACAAAGGGAGAAGAGAGAGAGAGAGAGAGAGAGAGAGAAAGAAAGAGAAGGGGGCAGAGACAGAACTTAATAGAAACGCTGGGAGATGGACAGAGAAAGAGCATGGAAAGAAAATAAGGGGGATCAAAAGAGACAAAGGGAGAAGAGAGAGAGAGAGAGAGAAAAAGAAAGAGAAGGGGGGGGGGGCAGAGACAGAACTTAATAGAAACGCTGGGAGATGGACAGAGAAAGAGCAATGGAAAGAAAATAAGGGGGATCAAATGAAACAAAGGGAGAAGAGAGAGAGAGAGAGAGAGAGAGAGAGAAAGAGAAGTGGGGCAGAGACAGAACTTGATAGAAACGCTTGGAGATGGACAGAGAAAGAGCATGGAAAGAAAATAAGGGGGATCAAAAGAGACAAAGGGAGAAGAGAGAGAGAGAGAAAGAAAGAGAAGGGGGGGGGGGGCAGAGACAGAACTTAATAGAAACGCTGGGAGATGGACAGAGAAAGAGCATGGAAAGAAAATAAGGGGGATCAAAAGAGACAAAGGGAGAAGAGAGAGAGAGAGAGAGAGAGAGGGGGGCAGAGACAGAACTTAATAGAAACGCTGGGAGATGGACAGAGAAAGAGCATGGAAAGAAAATAAGGGGATCAAAAGAGACAAAGGGAGAAGAGAGAGAGAGAGAGAGAGAAGGGGAAAAAAAGAGAAGCGGGGAGGGGGGGGGGGAGGGAGAGGGTTTCGAAAATGGCATTCATGAGGCTCAAGGACCTTTACAGCAATGCATACAAAAATCCTTTTAAATCAAGTATTTAATATTAAACAAGTCTACTCCAATTCCTCCACCCCATCTCCTTCCTACACACAATTTGACTACTATGCCACTAACTAAAAATAAAAGCACAAATAATCATTTTTTTTTTTATTAACAATATCTTTTACCTTTTTATTATCATTTACTCGTTTCAGTTCATCTTACACAAGTTTCGAAAATCATCATGTCAATATTTCAAAACACAACCGCATGTACACACTCACATGAATTAATACATACACTCTCATAACAGAAAAATAATATTGCAAGTAATAAATTCAGGTAAAATATACATAAAATCTACATCTACATAGTCTAATGGGAAAAAAAAGATTACATACACCCTAGCCAATAGCAATTATTGCTTTAGTCCTTAGTTAAATCTCTAGATTTAGGCTATAGATTTATTTCATAATGTAGCTGATTGGTACAGAATTATTGTTTTTTTGTTTCATAAAAGGAAAATAATGTCTCCAATAACACTTTTTAAATTCATTTTGGTAAAGAGAAGGAACTTCCTATATTTATCACCAACGCAATTTTTTTCTTCAACATAATACAAACAAAAACACAAGGAGAACTACATTGTAAGAAGATAAACGAGAACGTACAAGCCTTCAGGTCTACAGCATCTGCTTAGGCAATGGCCAGGCTCTCTCTATCTTCTTCGTTGACCCTTGCATATGAGAGCGTAAATTTCAAGGATTCTTGTGGTACATGTTTTTAATCATATACTTGTATCTCTATAAGCTTCATTGCTTAAACGTTAACATTACACTTTCTAGTAATAATGAAAAGATACATAATGGAAGTTACAGAACCTGGACAAAAAAAAGTTTGTTTAAAAAGTCACACAATATAATGTACCCCACATTACTGATTATTTCATAGAAAATATGAAAATGAGTTAATACGAAAATAATACAAAAATAAGGAATTTTGTGAGTTTCAGGACGTACTGATAATTAGTGAACAGTAACAATGTCTCCAGATTTTAAATCTACATCCATAACCTGCCTCTCAGAGCATCTTCACTTGTTTTGAAATACAGTTATCAAGAGATCCTGGATTGGTTAATGACTTTCAAAACATCTAGAGTTAGGTGAACTTTAAAACCACTATTTGACATACTAATTAGAATTATAATCTTTGTAAACCAATAAATAGCTGTAAATTCCATATTTGCAATATTCCTAAATTCCTCAACATACACAAACACTTCACACATCATTTCTCTCCCCTCTGCATCCGTCACTCACTCACTCTCTCCTCTCGATTCAGTTTCGCTAAGCCTCATCCATATAAGCTGCTGAAAACTGCCTAAAAACCTGCTGCTCCGAAATAAATATCATGATATACAATTAACAACTAAATTGTTCATACCCCTTGTCAATTTGATGTTTTTTGTAACTCAAGAAAGATAGACTGGTTAAATAAGGGCCTTTGTTAAACATTTTTAGATGTAAGCTTTAGAGCTTATCTGTACTAGTTTATACGAGGGATTAGACCACCCTGCAAGGTCACTGGACAGGTGGTTATCTCATCAACTCAGCTCTCAATTAACATAAGATAAAGAGGATCATGGGAGACCAATGGTCACCGATTAGGCATTGTTTTCTATAAAGAGAAAGCAAGTACCTTCAAGTAGTACAGTGTGGCTTTAATATGTTACATTCTCAAGAAAATAAATCAGGATAAATATTTTTTTTATATCACATACTTAACCAATCACAGAAATTGGTAGGGGAATGAATAATTTAGTTCTTAACTTGAAGTATGGTGCGCTTCGTATTTCTGTATCTTCGAAAACACACATACAAGCATGTGGTATGCTTTGATGGTTGCTTCTTGTTGTGCGCATTGACTCTCTTTTACCGTATATCGTTGTACTGCATCACCAATAGCACCAGCTTACAACATAGGTCTGAAGAAGCTTGCAGCAAGACAAGCAAAATCTTACTGAAAAGGGTACTTTTTCCCCTGATTGTGGAAAAATAACTCATTGTCACGTCACATGTACACGATCAATCAGAAGAATTTCTTCAGTGACTAATTTGAGTTATTTTACCCCCGTTTCCTATTCATTTACACATAAACAGGGTATTGTTTTCTATTTGTACTTTTATAGGCAGTTTACAACATCTTGTGTGAATGAGAATCTAATAAAAAAAGAATAATCTATTAAAGGGAATAATCTCTTAAACCTGTAATGATGAAATGGCTTTAATTTATATTCTAATGATGTGTGGCAATGGGAAATAGTCACATGCACACAAAATATGAAAAAAGAAAGTACATTGAAAAACTGACAAGACAAAAGAAAGACGGACAGAAAATGCAGAGAACAGGCTTGGGAGGGCATTGTAGAGAAAAGCCAACATAGACTTCAAAAAATAGAAGAAAAATGAAAACAAAACAAACACAAGAATTGTGCAAGGGATAACTTGTGGCTTTTAAATATGTAAGGAAAATAGAGTGTTTCAATCAGTCATTGAGAAGTATGTTCAATCAATAGTATATAAATCTTGTTTCATTATTAAAATCTACCAAAGATTCAGATGATTTAGGTGGGCATTGTTCACATAACTTTATCCAACTTCATGTTGCCTTAATCAAATCATAGAGTTGTAGTACTACCAAAATACATTACTATTATATCAGGTATTGTGCATTTTGTTATAAAATCACCATCAATTATTCATCACGTAGGTCAACAGATAATTCCCTTAACAGCTATAGGTATTCTCTAATTTAAAAAAAAAAAAAAAATAAGATTAACTCTGTGTATGCTATAAGTCCTCATCTGTCATTGTTTCCTCTGTCCTGAGATTATGAAAGGTGTACTCTGATTGGCTGATTGCTTGATTAGGAGCCTGAAGGGTAGAGAAGGAAGCAGTTGATTGGGTGGTTGGGAAGGCAGGCTGCGCTGTGTTCTCGGGGGCGTGGTGGCGGGGGAGTTGGTAGTCATGGAAGACTGCCGGCAAGCTGGGGTCAGGCTCTGACATTGTGTGCGTTGGGTTCTGTACTGACAAATCGTGCTGTATAAAAAACAGGACAGTTGACATGTGTTACAATGTATTTGACATTTCTTCACTTGTATCCTTCTAATATGATTTGCAATGAAATCGAATCAATTTCAATGCTCTATTGTATATCACATAGAAATCATGTTCAGGTACAGAGATGCCTACCTAAAAACAGACAGAGTATCCTAAAAAATTAGATTTTCACGAAAACTCGACACTACCACTGGCCCGACAGCCCCGGGCCAGTAAAATTTCAGAAAAATGTTTGCTCTTTCATTAAAATTTAATGAGAAAATTGTAAAGCAAAGTTTTTGTTGGGGTTACGGGGGTTTACTTGTACATGTTTCTATGCGATTCCGCTGTTTTTATGTGCTTTTAATTTTAAAAAATTTAAGATCGTATTTCACTCTTATTATTGTACTAAATACAATTTAATCGTACTGGTTGGCATCTCTGGTGATAGTAGTTTTCGCACAGTTTATTAGGATACATGTATATCCCTGAAAAATTGTTTCTTGCCCTAACCATTCAGTTTCAACGTCATTTGATATCATATCTGTTTTTACTGCAGAACCCCCACCCCCCCCCCCCCCTCCCCTCATACCACCCCGTCAACAAAATAATTCAATTTAATTAGGACAAAGGGTATTATACAACTCACTCCCAGATCCTTATCAAATGATTGGTCATGCATGGTCATGTGTGATTCATTTACTGAGGCTATTGCATGTTTTTCATGAAAAGGCGTGCAATAGTTTTAAGTACTATTGCACATTTTTTTTTTAGTGCGTGCACATGATGCGCAGTAGTGCGCGGTTAGGGCGTTTATCTATGTGTGCGCCCTAAAGCCTATTAAACTTGGGATTTATTGGTCAGCAGTACTGTCACGAAACGATCTTGAATGAAATCTTTTTACATCAAATAACAAGGATCTAGGAGTTTCGTTGCATAAAACAAATGATGCATGTTTTCATTCGTTCATTATACGATCTTTGTGCGATAGATACACACAGCCTCAACTGGAGTGTGGGCAGATAGTATAATGAACTCATGCGCATTCATCATTTGTATACTAACCTGAAATAGGGGAGGTCTGACAGGTGATGATAGATGTGAGTTGTGTTCTGCTTTACTAGGTGAATGAAAGGATGGTGGCTCGGGCGTCGACTCCCTCAAGGTACCATCTGTACAAAATAAAGCATAAGAATATCAATAATGAGGAGGATAATGTTTGTGAATTAAACCAATTTCCTCTATGAATGGTTTGATCCAATTTACTTTGTGAAAAAAACCATGACAATTTTTTTTAAGATTGCGACCTTAACGTGCACCTTCACATGATCTTCCACTTTCGTTCCACATAAAAGTTTGTGTAACACAACCACCTGACCGGATGGGATGACCAGATGATTCAAAAGAATTATATGAAGTGATCATATAATATTTAAGTCCACAGAAGAGGTGTTTAATTGTTTAAAACCATGATTTAAAGATAAAGTTGTGTTCTGGTCAAAATGTTGTGCAATCGATCAGAAAAGGTTGATTTATAAGTATTGGTGTGTACTGCAAGGTTCTGGAAAACAAAATGATAAGAAATTTAGCCCAGTGTTGGTAAAGTTACAAGCACTGTACACCAAAAGATGTATATGGGACTACACGAACATGTGGCATAAATATCTGTCCCGATTTTTATGTTACATGCCATATTTAGAATAGTAAGGCATTTGAAGAGCCATGCTTTTCAGGGAACACTTTGGCCCGAATTCACAAAGGAGGTTTGTCGACAAACCTTGGTTTTCGTACGTCATATGACACGTTTTACGCATTTTTTACAAACCTGGTTTGGCGAAACAAAAGGAGGTTTGAGCTCAAACCTTGGTCTGAGCTCTAACCTTGCTTTGTGAATTCGGGCCTTTGTATCTGATGTTTTTCCACAGTTGCATATTACAATGATAACGCTCACAAATTATTTTTCACCTCTTCCCAGAACTCAAAAAACTCCTTTGTGATGTTGTGCCCATGAATACAAGTAACATACCTAATTTTGTGGGTGAGCCGCCAAACGGGTTAGGCATGATTCTGTCTATAGAGGGCGCACTCTCTGTTTCCATTGCTCCTGTGCCGAGTTGAGATAGTTGTTGTGTGAGACCTAGCATTCCTCCTTCTTTCACTTCTACTATAACCCATATGGTCTCTGTAAAATAAAAAAGTGACAATTATCAAAGCATTGAAGAGTACCAATCATAACAGTATATTTTGGTCTGTGTTTTCAGCATTTGATGTCGCTACACTACACTCAACAGGGATGCCAGTCAATATTACTTACTGGGCCTGAAAAGAAGCCAGAACAGTAAACAAGTTAAAGCCCCATACAGGTGTATGTGCTGTACAATATAAAACCTGAAAAGGCCTAAATTTGGGCAGTTGTCAAGGCCTGAAATCAAGCAGAAGACTGAAGATTGGCAACTCTGATTCAAAATATGGAATTCAAATGTTCAAAAAACATGTAATTCCATGTATACACCTGTATATAAATACATTTTAAATGCCAATAGACCAGTTCGTAGTTAGCTCATGGTTCAGATGACCCCAAATATCAACATATATTTTAAACATAGATAAATCCCAATTTGTGCCTTTTGGAATAAGCACAGCTAAAGTCATTGAGGTGATTCTTTGTTTGCCCTCTTGAAAGGATTACCTACACCTGTGTTCAATAGAATGCAACACAGGTGCATGCATGAATAATGATTACATACCTTTCGTGAGCATGTATCCAGTATTAGTCTCAGTGTGTTTTACAATTTAGTACAAGCGACCTTTATCTGCGCATGCGCACATTGATCTACGAACTGGTATACTGACATACACATATTATAGATGACAGAACTAAATTAGGGAAAGTTGTAAAAAAAAACACCATCAAAAAACACTATGGCAGTTATCTCAAAGTAATAGATCTATGAAACTAGAGAGGCGTATTAGACTTTAAAGATAAAGATCAGTTCTGGTCATGCGATTGCATTGTGAAAGAAAGGTTGTTGAATCGATCAGAAAAGGTTGATCATATAAGTATTGGTGTGTACTGCAAGGTTCTGGAATCATCAAAATGATAAGAAATTTGGCCCAGTCTTGGTAAAGTTACAAGCACCGTACACAGAAAGATGTATATGGGACTACGCACACGTGCACGACACGTGCCTTTTATCTATCACATCCCAATAGATAAACTAATTTAGCAAATTTATCAATTAGTAGGCGGTTTCCCGGCAAAATTTTTATCATCATGTATTAGTCAAAACATATTCTTTCACATGATTGGTAATAAGAGCTTCCATTTCATTTTTGTTTAATTGGGGCGTTTCCAATAGTGGTCTATACCTTTAATTATGTACAAAAAAGGTTATAATAATGAGCTTACCCCCAAAGAAGACCCCTGTCGATGTACACATTCTCCATTGGCCTTGGTATAAACCACAGTGTGAAGGGCTTTGCATTTTGACGCTGATGTCCATGTCTGTTTGAGCGCTCAAATGCTCCGTGTAGACCCTGTCCAGTGGTCCTAGCTGATGGCCGTGTATGAAACGTAAACAGGACCCCGGTGGCCATTGGTCTGTGGCTGCGAGTGTGAACATGGCAAAAAAAATACATTGGTTATTAAACTCATCAATGACCAAGGGGTAACAAAGCTGCAAATGGGAACGGGGCATAAAGTACTGTCTTTTGGTTAACTCATTAAAGATAGTGTATAAAACGTAAACATTATCCTGTTGGCCACTGGTCCGTTGCAATTGTGAACGTGACATTTTTTTTAAAAGTTGACCAATCAAGGATCAAGGTTTAATACAGGGCTGATCAATTTGCACTATTTTCAAAATTGACAAAATCATTTTCAAAATTTAACCGTTGCACCAAACAATTTGTCACTGTTAATAATGATGTTGTTGGGTATAAGAATAAATATGATAAATTTGTATTTCAAATTCCGAGATTTGAATAGCCCTTTTAATAATTTTTCAACAAAGGTTCAATCATGCTCTGTAACTTAGGATATGAATAGACTCTCAACTTATTCTGTAAAGACACATGTAAGCTGTGTAAGCGAGTCAAGCTATGACTCTCAAGCACCACTAAAATCTTCACAAAATTGGACAGACAATGATGCCATAAAGCCTCACTATACTTTGAAAATACAAGCATAGGCCTGCTTACAAACTTTTTTTCTATGATTCTGAACAATTCTGACTAACTGAGAATAGGAGGAAGAAGAAGCATAAAGAGGAAGGAGGAGGAAGAGGAAGGAGGAGGAGGAGGAGGAGGAGGAGGAGGAGGAAGAGGAGGAGGAGGAGGAGGAGGAGGAGGAGGAGGAGGAGAGGGAGAAGGAGGAGGAGGAGGAGTAGTAGAAGAAGAGGTTGAAGAAGATGAGGTTGAAGAAGAAGATGAGGTTGAAGAAGAAGAAGCAAAAGAAAAACACTAAAAACAACAACAAAACAACAAGGAGGGGAGGGAAAGAAGGAGAAAGAAAGAAAGTCAAGGACATGTAAGAAAACAAGCTTACCAGGATTCCTAACTCTCCACGTCTTTGTGAATTCTGTACATGGTGGGACTGATTCTCCTTCTCCTATAGTAACATCTTTGACAAACGTCATGTTAGGTAGTCTCTGTACAGGCAAGTTGGCTTCTATATCATAATACGATCCTATAGCTGCTTGGAGGTTCCTGAATTTTTTTAAAAATAATCAATAAGATTAAAGAAGTTAGATAAGGAAGTAAGAAGAGTGGTGGGAGTCTGACCGGGCTGTTTTTGCAAATCTTAAATGTATCTATAGACTTCCGGGTGGAAGTTAAATTTGTGAAGATCAGCAAAAAAACCTGGAAAAATTTCTGAAAAAAGATTAACGGTATGTTATTAAAACAGGTGCATGATTACTGGGGGCTGTTTCTCGAAACCAACTCCATGACAGTCATATCTTTGTCGGCGACCTACGGAGATGTCATGAAGCGGATAAACCGTTTCACAAAGCCATGACAGACATGATATCGAAATATATCGCGATACTAGCAGTTCAAGAACATAGTCTTTGTCACGATCCATTTGATTCATCACGAATAACCCACAACAAGTTTTGGGGCTAAAATTGTTCAAAAAGAAACATATACATATCAATTATCCTAAAATAAATAAAAAATAGTGTCATTATCAAATGTAGATCATCAAACGATTTGCATATTTCTGTAAAGATTCTTAAATTGAAGAAAAATCGGTGAGTTTTTTTTTCTCGACAATCCACTCAAAAGGTAGTTGAAGGATACCGTAATGTGATAGTTTATCAATACGTACTTTTTTTGTTTATTGTGACGAGGAATTTTAGGCAAAATACCTTTTCTCAGCCAGTTTTTATTCTAGAGTCTCATAATACTCGTTATATAATTGATTTGGTATTGAAAATAAAATTTGAAAGAAGTAATTAGAGAGGGAATAATAATGCATAGGTCCCAAAGGTACAATAGTATTCTAAGAAAGACTATGGATCGACTATGGAAAACGGTGTGTAACATTCTTATCTCTCTTATTTATATGTTATAGTTCAATGATTTGTGATTTAATGTTTAAATTCAGCTTTTTAAAGTTTCTGTATAATTTGTATTCTCACTTGTGTACGTTTGCATTTCGCATCCTAGAGCATTACGTACCGAACTCGTCTATATTTTTCTCAAAATGATAGTGAAACTAATCGTACATTTCGCGGCCCATGGAATGGCAACAAACTGACTTGTGATGGCGCTTTACAGCAATTAAAAAGATATGACAGGTTCGGAGCAGTGACAACTCGCTTGTCGCGGAAGTTGTCGCTCATCTTGGCAAAGACGGCTTCGTGAAACACTTAGCTGACAAGTTGCGTGACAGTGGCGAGATGTCGATGATCTTGTAGTTATGACGGTTTCGAGAAACGGCCCCCAGATTACTACTGAACAGCGCTCAAAATACACGGGGGCGGTGGGCGATTCGCCCCCGTGAGCTCCATAATCACCCCCGTCAGGTTGCTCACGGGGGCGATTGCAAAATAAAAAATCGCCCCTGTGGAATTATAGAATAAAGATTATCTTTTCTGATATAACTTTAACACAATATTGAGTATAAGTTTTCAAACATTAAACCAATGAAATAGAACTTAGATGGCGCTTTCTCTCCAATCTCTATGAGTATTACCGATACAAACAACGGAAGCTCGCAGTGCAGCTAGAGCGGTCGTCAGCACTGGCTATACTGCGCCGGTAGGACCGGTGTGCACGCTGACGCCCAATATCTGCTGGAGCTGGAGACGATCGCGCAAGGACTGAAACATAAAGCAGTTTTTCGTTGTGAAAAGTGTGAATTCTCTGAAATCTGGTGATTCTAAAAGACCATCAAATAATGTAACTCGACCAGTAAATCAATATTGAGAAGAAGAAGAAGACCAAAGATGTTGCAGGGGCGGATCTAGGCGGTTTAGGGGGTTTAACCCCCCCCCCCCCCCCCCCCCCCCCCCTTGGGCTGCCAAGTGAAAATGCGATGTGCATAGAAAAATGCTGTCATGTGTCCAGACCTACACAGTATTAGTAGATGTCAGTAGATGCCAGGAAAACATCACTAACGGGGGTTCCAAAAAGCACCAAAAAAAATTGCCTCGCCGCCTTGCGGCTCGTGGACGATGCTCTGCATGTTTGTAGATGCCAGGAAACATCACTTACGGGGGTTCAAAATAGCAACAACAAAAATCGCCTCGCCGCTATGCGGCTCGTGGACGATGCTCCACATCGTATTTGGGTTACCCCCCTCACCCTTAGCAAAAAGCTAGATCCACTCCTGTGTTTTGGAAGGATATATGGTAAAGACTAAAAGTAAAGAAAGAATGCAAATTAGGTTGCTCCGAATAATGAGGAGGAAATTATGTGCAGAACGGGAAGAAATGGAGAGAATGTCATCACCGGGATAAAAGTCAATAACAGCTATGTAACAAGTAAATTTTTAAGAGGGAAAATGCCGACTTAATAATAATAATAATAATAATAATAATGTAACTTATATTGCGCCAAATCCACTCTGTGGAGTGCTCAAGGCGCGTGTAAACAGGAAAAACGATCAAGACTTAATAAATGATAATGATAAAATACCAAGGAGTTTCATGGGTACCAATTCGATGGAAATTTGTATTAAAATAAGAGCCCCCGTCAGCACTAAAAGAGCCCCCGTGAGCCTTCTCACGGGGGCTCCTTTTTTTTTGGAAGAGCCCCCGTGGACAAAAAATTAATTTGAGCCCTGCTACTGAATAAGACATTTCCTTCACATAAAACAGGGGAGTAGATCTATATGTACAAATCACTATTACAGTAAGAAGCACATGTAAGTTTTAAGAAGAATTGTCTTATTGGAATGGTTTACTGAAAGACAACCATCCATAGTTTTGTCTCCTCTTGGACTTGGAGAGATTTCTGCATTATCTTTTGATCCAGAATGTGAAGAATTGTATGTGTACAGAAAGAGAACAAATTACAGAAAACTTTGGATTCCAGTTGGATAAGAAGTTTGTAACTACATTGTAATCATTAAAGCCTCTTAAATTGGCCACCAAGTTAAAAATTTATAATTACCTGAATCGATGTACTACATGTATGTACAGTACTACTTAAAATGCCTTTCATGAACCAATTGACAACATTTTGTTGAGATTGAGTTATCTGTAAAAGTAAAAGACTGTATCCACATTTCTTCACTTATTAAATACATGCATACATTTACCTGAATCGATGTATGTACAGTACTACTTAAAATGCCTTTCATGAACCAATTGACAACATTTTGTTGAGATTGAGTTATTTGTATTCACATTTCTTCACTTATTAAATACATGAATACATTTTATATAAAGAGTAGGAACTCAGAAAACAATTTGAGGAGGAAATGCTGGTTTATTCAGACCTTCAAAAACTCTCTTTACTGTACATTGCTATCAAATGGAGTTAACTAAATGTAGAATAGAATTCAAAATGCATGCACATAAATATACAGTGTAGAGTGTAATATACAGACAGACATACAGTACACCCGGTGACCTGTACATGTACAGTTCATGTACACTGTAGGTTAAAACCCTCCAGGCTTCCATGACAACACAGCATTTCCAACTGAATAAATTTCATACAGTGTCATTGTCAGAAAACAGCGTTGGAAGCTCAAAGTCTACCAATTAAAAGCTACTCAATCGCCAAGTACCAGATGACAACTCCCATCTTGATAAAACAATAGATTTATCCATTTGTTATCGTATAACTTGGCTTTAACTTTGTTTAATATTTACAAAAACCCAAAATCGTTAAACCAGTATTCTGTAAAGATTTAATGACTAATGCGAGAATGTTTTATGAGGCTGTTTTAAGAGCATGATTATTAGAGGAACCTAAAACTACCCAGAGATGAATGTGTCTTTGGAACTGGGTTTGAGATTATGACAATATTGACTGTCAGATGCGACTTTTTTAATGTCTTTTGCGTCCGTTCTGAAAAAATGTTGAACTTGCCGAGTGCTGACAAGGGTCTTGTAATCTTTGTATCAAGATAATCTACGACACTGTAAAAAGTCTGTCTGTTATCAAAATTGTAAGTCAAATGTGACCCAAACTGATTGGGTAGATATTTTGCCTTTTAAATTATACAATTGTTCAATCATCATATATTTGATGGATCAGTTCTTTAAATAAATCAGCTGTAGACTCCCGCGCCCAATTAAGGTGTCGTTGCTTTCATGAATTTTTTGTATTAAAGTTGCAGAGCATTCCCACCCGATATCACATTTTAAGATTTCCAATTTCGCGATATCTCCAGAATTCTTTAAAGTAATAAATTGTTGAGTTGCACAAATTTGTAGTCTACTATTTTGCTGTTCATTTGGATTTTGGTAATAATTTGTTTAGAGTTTAGAATATGATAAAAATGGATCAAATATCACATTCAAAATATTCTTTAAATGTAGGCGAACTTTGGTAACCCTATCAAACGACAAGGCATCATAAACACTCAATGACAAGTTAAAGTGGCTTACTTCACACGAAGGCAAAACAAACTAACCAAAATACAAAATGTCCATAGCCTAGTCTATTATTAATTAAAAAGTTGTTTGACGTTACATTTCAAACTTTTTGACAGTCTAATTTTAGCTAGATTCTAGGCCTATGAAATGTTAATACAAATATCATGAATAGGTTATGGCTTGAAATCATAGACAAATAGGTCTAATTCAATTTTCTGTTTGAAAGTGGATGGTCTGTCACTTTCAGCTGTCTGGACTCTCAACACACACAATTGTCAAAATATGCAATCATGACAGAGTAAACAAGATTTGTCAAACTCAAAATCATAAAGTCAAACTTTGATCTAGAAATCTAGAACATGGTGAAGGAATCTCTTCATAACTTTTACTAATATAGGTCTAGACAGTAGACATAACTTACTACCCACTTTATCAAAATGTTACCTGTAGACCTAGGTCTATGTAGACCTATTTAGTATTTCAACACCGTCCCATTTTTCATCATCAACCTACCAGTTATTCATGTCAAGGAAAAATGCACAGGTCGCCGGGTTGAGATTGTTGCCCAACAACTTCTGAAATTCGTTGATCAAAACATCTCGATCAGTAGTCCCCATGCTGCTAAATTTCGACATCAAATCCTGATCTAAGTCTACATCCATCATGGTAGCTGCTGAGATCGTTTGCCCCTTGAAATGCAAAACCAATAAACGACTGGAAAACGAAAATGAACGCTATTTTGTTGCTTGTTTATCGTTCAGTTCTCATCATACACGGCCACGTACAATTCCACATCGCTTAGCTTATAGTGCATACGCTATGTGTATGCGGCGCGGAGGCTAGGCCTAGGAGCGCAGCAGCAATATACACACACAAAATAATGCACGCGATCGAAACGACTCTACACTCCCACTCTGACCCCGTGACGTCATACATAGCTTTAACAAGCTGAAGGTAGCAGTCCATTTTTGAACAACATTCGACAGTGGAAAGGAGGGGGGGGGGGGGGCTCGATGAACCGAGGGTATGGAATAAAGGAAAAGGCTACAATACATATTGTACAAAATTGCACCTGTCCAAAAAACTTATTCAAGTAAGGACTCATTTTCACACCTTGCCCTTTTTTACTCTCTAGTCTCTCTCTCTTTTGTATTTTTATCTGAATATCTCTCGATCCTCTCTCCAGCAACGCCTCACTGTTAATTCTTCTCCCTTGGATTTCACAATTTTTTTTCGCTTTCTCTCTCTCTCCTTTTCTTGCCCTCTCCTATCTCTTTCAGTCCTTTTGTTTTTGTCTGTTATATTTTCTTTCTCTTCTATCTAAATAGTCTCTTCTCTTTCCTTTTCCCTTCACTCCTCGACTATTTGCTTATCCTTCCCTTCTCTCTTTTTCTCTTAATTCTCGATTTGTTTTCTGACTCACTTTATCTTTCCCCCTCTCTCCACCTTTTTGATCCTCAAAATAAATTGTAATAAGTTAATTAAAGTTATAATATGTAAACATTTATGCAATGTTTCCTCTTTCCCATAGTTTGTTATTGTTTCTTCATCTTTATTTTAGGTAAATTATGTACCACAGTATATTTTGTGAGGACAATTGTCAACAATCCACTTATGTGCTTTTTTTCATCCTCCTACTTCAGATATCTTTTTACACATATTTATATTTATATTTTGAAGATACAGCTGTAACATATTCAAGGTGAAAACTAATAAATGAAACAAAAAGATTTTGCCCCTGCTGGCTTGACAACCTGCACCTATATTTTGTTTGTGTATACAAAAAAAGATGAACATATTAAAAAATCAATATCAGTGATTTATTTTACCCATTGTGAGCTATTTACGTGTCATCAGAGTTCTTCATTCTGTTTCAGCAATATCTATCCATTTATCTGTTAACACAATCATGCAGGCCATTTAGTCTTTTACTCTCTCTCTAAGTGCCATATTGACTTTGGCGATCAAGATGTTCCACAACCCTAGGTTCCTAGCCTTTGGTATTAGCACCACTCCCAGTTCTTTCACTCCTCTCTGTCTTCCAACAATTTCTGCAGACTGTCCATCCAAAGTATCCTCCTTCTTCCCCTACTCCTCCTTCCCACAATTTTCCCTGTCAAAGCAAGATTTTCTAGGCCTTTGGGCCTTCAACTGCATAATCAACATCTCATGTATCATTTTCCTTTGCACTCCAGCTCTTCTAAGAACTTCCTCATTACTAACTTTACACAAAGGCAAAATACAATTCAGCTCTAAAATGCCTCACTAAATCCACATTGAGAGCCTTTTTTAAATGCATTATTAAAAATCTTACGGCAAATAGCTTTTATTTGTTATTGACAGGCATATACTGCTGACAAGGCATAATACTTTACACAAAATACAAATTTATTCTTATAATACATGTACATTTACACCTGGATTAAATATATACAATATATATAAACCAATCTTACCCTTTTCAAACAAAAATCTCACTTGTTCCCGCTCAACTTGTCTCAGATTTATTGAATTTCTACTTGAAATGTTGAAATATGTATACAGTAAGTTTAGTTTCAAACCCGATTTCCTGTGTGCAAGAAAGTTTGAGCAAAAGCCTTTATTCTGTCAATTCCAACAGAAAGGATTTTTTTAGTCAAATAGACAATACCGCAATATGAAGTCCCATCAAAGGGGAAGTCCAACCTGACATCAAGTTTGTTTTAATAGCAGCAGAGAAATGAGAGGAACGGGTGAACGAAAGTCTGAGCAAAAACCAATTTTAAAAAAAAAGAGACAAATTTTTGAAGGTGCGATCAAACACAAATTGGCAACTCTGTGACGTATCTAGCAAGGTCCATTTGCCCTGTACTAAAATCTTTAATAAATTACATTTTCCTTATGAAATTTTTCAATTGTACATTCACCTTAAATATAATTATTACCAAAATGTTTGCATACCACCTTTGTATGAAACAAATCTAATCCATCAACAATAGTTAAGAAAATGAAATTTCATGAAATTTTCTGTACAGAGCAAATTGGAGCTTGCAAGATATGTACATCACAGTGTTGCCAATATATGTTTACTGAAGACTGCTTCAAAATACTCATAACTTTCTTATTTCTAATTGGGCATGGTAAATCTTTCACTAATTTTGTTTCTCATACTATTCTGCTTCTTCTAAAACCAACTTAAAGCTTATCTGCCATAGTTTACAGGAGGGATTACACCGCCCTGCAAGGTCACTGGACAGGTGGTTATCTCATCAACTCAGCTCTCAGTTAACATAAGAAAAAGAGGATCATGGGGGACCAATGGTCACCGATTAGGCATTGTTTGTTATATAGAGGGCGCAAGTAGCTACAAGTAGTGCAGTGGGCCTTTAACACATGCATCAGGATGGATTACCCCTTTAACTAGTTGACAAACAATTCAATAAGTGAAAACAAATTCTCAAAACATAATCCAGTGTTCAGGCAAACATTCCCTCAAATTTTTATAAGAAAAAAGAAATGTAAGCCTACAAAATGATGAATTACTTAATTCAACTTTCTACAGTATTGGTGAATGTGGCTTTGTATGAACTTCAGTGCTGCAAATACAATCTAATGCGATTTGATTTCATAATGGACGTTTCACATTGAGCTTTTCAGAGTGCAAATAAGCCTATATAGCATCCATTTATGTGCTTCGTCTGAAACTAGTACTAACAAATAAAGAAAACATAGAACTATCTCATCACCTACACAACTCAACTGATAGTTCCATGATGACTAATCCTTTCAAGTTTCAACATGTTCAACAAATAATTTAAATTATCAAAATACACACACTGTATTGTTAATTGTGTATAGATCATAATAAGCAATATGGTTAATAAAGAGTCAGGTTTTTATACATGTTATAGTTTGTGTGACGAAAGATCATTACACACCTTAAATCTCTTCACAAAATCAAAATTATCTTCGTCTTCGACCACCACATGTAAATGAATAATCATGATTCGTGATGAACCAAGCATTCTCACTTTCATCATATATTCTTGGATACATTTTTAAGGTACAGGTTGTATGTCTTACAGCTGTGTGGAATAATGGCAATAATTTCAATGAAATAGCTTGTCTTACAACATATTTATTCAGTTACTTGATATTAAATTAAATAAAAATACCAAGCAATTTTTTTTTATAATTGCAATTTAATGTCTTTTCTAGGGTAGAGCGAGAGAGAAAGAGAGAGAGAGAGAGAGAGAGAGAGAGAGGGAGAGAGAGAGAAAAAGAGAGAGAGAGAGAGAGAGAGAGAGAGAGAACCAATAATAATTTGAGGGAATGGACAACAAAAGTGACCAAATGATTACAAGAGGATCTAAATCTCTGAACATTTATTCAATGGAAATTCCTACTAACTACAAACAATTATTTTATTAAAAATATAAAAGTTTTTTTTCTTCTCTCTCTCTCTCTCTCTCTCTCTATATATATATTTGAAGGGCAATCCAACCTTTGTAATACAGTATGTTCATTTGTATCAAAAATAAAGAGAAACAGAATAGCGAACTATAATTAAGTTATCCTTTTCTCCACCGCACTTTCTTGTGGCACTACTCGAAATATATTATGGACTGCATATTTATTTATTTGAGTCATACAATTTGAAAAACTAACAATTTAGTCATTCTGTTGGAACAACTAGGAAAGTAAATTGTCCAGTACCATGTCATGGTCACGGTAATATTACCGATTAAGCTATTTGAAATTCTCATAGTGATTTCAATTTTCAAAATTCATAGCTTTCTTAATTGATGTCCGATTTCTTTCATTCAAACTTTCGCAAGTCTGCATCTCTGATTTTTCTGCTTGTTATTAGAGTAATTTGTCATTGAGGTAAGATTTACCTTTAAATATTCAGTTCTTTCCAAATGATGTTCATACAAAAATGGAAAATGAACATGTCACGCATAGAGTTTTTCCAAATCATTGATACTTCACAGCCGACCTCCTGCATCCAGCGTACGTTTCAAAGTTATGTTGTTCTGAACCTAGATGATGATTGACAGCCATGAAGCCTTGTTCAGATAAGACACAGGAAAACTTTCATGATGACCTATGACCTTCATGAGCATGTAATGTGCTTCACATTTCTGTAACTTACAAAGGGACTGTTTATATTTTATGATAACCTACATGTAAGTGCAATACGATCTTATAAAGGAGATCAGTGAATGCGTGTAGGACCCTTGTTGCGGGCAATTACCATTCATTAACACGTTTCAAAAAACGTAGTAGTATTTTTGAGGCGGTTTCCATGTCATATCTGAAAGTGCCTTTACTGAGGGCGGTATATTGGATGAGATACACCGGTGGCTTGATGGATCACTGGGATGTTATGCATTGAAGGATCTCTAGGAAGACATGATGAAAACGAGTTCATAGATTCCAGCTTGACTGATTCCGATGAGTGCTCCTGAAACAAACCAAAAAAACATAGAGATCATAAGTAATCATCATCATCATCATCATCATCATTGTTTAGCGTCCCACACTGTGGGGTTGAACGCTTCATTTTCCTTATGATTCTTCTCTAAGCCTTCCCGTTTTCAGAACAAGCCTGGGTAAAGCCAGATGCTCTCATGTTGTGTTCTAGCATCTACTGCCAAGTTTTGCAAGGTCTGCCACAGGATTTTGAAGCAGCAACCTGGAAATTCATTGCTTTCTGTACCCAATGTGTTTTTTATATCTCCTAAAAACCACATGCCAATGTTGGAAACATTGGTGACTAAATTTATATTAACTGTTACAGTAGCTACATGCTCTTCAGAAGAAACAACATTGTACAGATTATGTTACCCCTCCTACAGATCTAAACACTTTGAGTTAACCCTATTTAGCCCGGGGGGGGGGGGGGGGGGGCTTGAGAAGCCCCCCCCTCGACATTTTTCGCGATAATTTTTTAACGCAAGAAAATCTTGCACTGAAATTTTGTGACTTTTTTCTTTCGAGTCTTGCGCATCTTTTGAAAGAAATTTTTCGAAAATCGGACCTACCATTACAAAGTCACATGACCTTTTGTCTTTGCATGTCAGCCCGAAAATCGCTCATTTTTGTGATTTGTGTACAAAACATATGGAAATCTCATTTTTTTCAAATAAAGAGATAAAACATTGGTTATTTGGTCTTGTTTATAGTTGAGGTGTTTATTTTGGGGTCAAAATAGTTGAATTATAGTTGGAAATGAAATAAAACAACAAAAACAATAAAAATACATGAGTTAAAAAAACAAAGAAATACATAAGAAATTATCAAAACAATAGATAACATAAAGAATAACCCTGGTTTTTCAATTTTTTGTGTTGTATTATTATTCCAAATGGTCTAACAAATATATGTAGTGAGAAAGAATGCTTAAATATGAATAATGTCTGATTTATGGGCAAAAATGTGAATTTGATGACCTTATTTGCATAAATTACCATAAATATGCAAATGAGTGAATTTTTCAAAAAATTGAAATTACCATAGTAATCTATACACTTCACTTGACATGTATGCAAATTTTCGCGGCGATCGGTCGTTTCACGGCCGAGATCATAGGGGGGGGGCCTGAGAAGCCCCCCCCCCGGGCTATGCAGTTTCAAAATAGCCCGGGCTAAATAGGGTTAAGAAAAACTCATTTCAAACTTGGCAAATTGATATTCAAAGGTCTGTGGAATTAGCACACATTTTCTGCACAGCGAAGCTATTTTCAAGAGGGCACAATTTCTTTCTTTTTTATTAGATATATTTTGGTTGTTCTCTCTTTACAATCAAAATTATAACTCAACTCAAACTTTGCAATTTGTTTTCTTCCTCAGTACCATGCACTATTTTTTTCTTTTTTATGATAACGCCCCTAAATATATACAACAGTATGATTCCAAGATGTCAAATACCAAAGGCAACATTATACAATCTGGCATTACCCAAGGCAATGTTATTATAGTCTTTAAAACCACAAATACAAAGAAGATATTTAACACAATAAATGTTAACCCCTTTGAGCGTAAACTTACCGACTGACATTCCTTGTTGTCTGATGCAGGTTCCCCACGCTGAAAGCTCTGGATAGACCAGTCCGGTTGCTAGGCTGCAGCGGACCCGAGCTCACATCAGGACGCCCTCTGTTGTTTGGATGATGGTTCTCCTTGCTGCTCTGGGAGTACGAGCTGAAAGAAGAGTATGATTGATCAATTATATATATATAGCATCTTGAGAAGAGATAAGAGAAAGACCTTGGGAATGTTTCACAAAGACTAAGATCAACTTTAAGTTGGACTGAACTATGGCAGGCAGTTCATGCCACGGTTTGCTCTCACCATTATGATCTTTAGATATTTTTTCTTCAATAATGAATAACAATGTATCAAAAATGAAAATTCTGTAGATTTGTGATCATGATTTGTACGTCCCTTGAGAGACCAATGCCATCAATTGGTGAGAGCAAACAGTGGTATGAACGGCCTGCCATAGTTAAGTCAAACTTAAAGTCGATCTTAATCTTTGTAAAACACTCCCCAGGCAATGGAGCCCCTAGTGGAAGCTAAAAACAGAGAGTTGAGGAATAACACTGTTTCCACAATTGACAGATATGGCACATAGAGAGATTACAAGAGGAAAGAAAAGAAAGTACAAAAGAAGAAGTTTCTTACCGTTGACTGTCGGCATTAGCTCTCCTCTTATTAGCGGCTGCTTTGGTCATTGACATGTAGGCTGGAATTGGTCTGCTAACACCACCTGAATCAAAAACATTAAAAGTTGGAATTAATCCTCTGCTATTGACATAGATTGTACTACTGACTCTCAATTACATCAACATATGAATATGACACTTTACAGACCAGCATACATGCACATTTTCGTGTTCATCGGACACTCGACAGCCGAGATCTAGGAGGGAGGGAGGGGGGGGGGGGGCCCTATAGCTAACATCTATAAGTATTCAACAAAGGCCCTAATTCAACCAGTCCACCTTTCTTTCAGTTCATGAGTTACAAAAAACATCAATTTTACAAGGGATTTCAATAAATCAGTTGTTAACTGTATGTAGCTATCAGAAGTAAGATTAATTTGGCAAACATTGAAAAGAGGATTTTGTAGAGATATGCACAATGCATCTGATCAAGAGCTGGGGGGGGGGGGGGGCATTTAACAAAACTTGTCATCAGTGACAAATGACAGTTTTTGTTATAAGCTACTGAAATTCTTGCTTCTGATTGGTTGTCAGCAGATTTGTCACTGATTTCTGTCATTTGTCATTGAAAAAGGCTTTGTGAAACGGGCCCCAGGTTGTCAAAATTCAATTATCTTTGATCCATGTCAATCAACAATGCATAAAAACTATTAATTTCTTTGACGTACCTGTAGCCGTGTCTGCCATAGAGGGCAGCCCAAATTTCTTGAGGGTGTCCGTATGCAGCGTCCTGTTGACAGACTGACCAGTGCTTCCTGTTAGCTGACCATGTGACTTGCTGCGTTGGTGGTGCAACGATGGTATGCCAGTAAATGTCTCCCTCCTGTGAATTCTGTACAAAACAAAAAACGAAGAAAACTTTTAGATTTTCTTTTCCAGCAATATCGATTCTTTTCTTTTCAACTGGCATTTTTTTTCTCTGTTAGAAAGACATGTACAATATAACGAGAAGTCAGAGAAAAAGAACAAAGATGCATTTAGAAACAAAAAGAATAACATTATATTTTTAAGCTGGCAAGTAGCAACTGAAAGTTTAGAAATAGGAGTAGCAAAGAGATTCTAGATAAATCAAGAATCTCCCAAAATTCAAGCTTTGGTAATCTCTTCTTCCCGAGTCACAACGTTCACTTTAACCCTATTTAGCCCGGGCTATTTTGAAACTGCATAGCCCGGGGGGGGGGCTTCTCAGGCCCCCCCCTATGATCTCGGCCGTGAAACGCCCGATCGCCGCGAAAATTTGCATACATGTCAAGTGAAGTGTATAGAATACTATGGTAATTTCAATTTTTTTGAAAAATTCACTCATTTGCATATTTATGGTAATTTATGCAAATAAGGTCATTAAATTCACATTTTTGCCCATAAATCAGACATTATTCATATTTAAGCATTCTTTCTCACTACATATATTTGTTAGACCATTTGGAATAATAATACAACACAAAAATTTGAAAAACCAGGGTTATTCCTTATGTTATCTATTGTTTTGATAATTTCTTATGTATTTCTTTGTTTTTTTAACTTATGTATTTTATTGTTTTTGTTGTTTTATTTCATTTCCAACTATAATTCAACTATTTTGACCCCAAAATAAACACCTAAAATCTAAACAAGACCAAATAACCAATGTTTTACCTCTTTATTTAAAAAATGAGATTTCCATATGTTTTGTACACAAATCACAAAAATGAGCGATTTTCGGGCTGACATGCGAAGACAAAAGGACACGTGACTTTGTAATGGTAGGTCCGATTTTCGAAAAATTTCTTTCAAAAGTTGCGCAAGACTCGAAAGAAAAAAGTCACAAAATTTCAGTGCAAGATTTTCTTGTGTTAAAAAATTATCGCGAAAAATGTCGAGGGGGGGGCTTCTCAAGCCCCCCCCCGGGCTAAATAGGGTTAAAAGGTACTATGTCCCTTTTGCAGCCAACCTCAAATTCTGTAGAACTTTGCCGGAATTATGAATATGTCATGTATGTCCTATCTGTGAAATTTAAACATTAGCAGTGTCCTCATATTCAAATTATGCAAGGAAACCCGTTTACTTGCTAGACTTCACTGTCAGACACTATTGAGTGACTGACTGGCTTTTTTCTTCTTTGGTAATAACATACACGAAAAGAGTTGTAAAGGGTACATGAGCATTTGTCTACATCAATATCCCACTTCTTGTGATGGCCAAGATTAAACTGATTGAATCTTTGCGCAGCATAAAACGTATGACCATTCGGTACAATTGTCTGAAAATCAAGACTATTACTTTTGGGCTCTATAGCCCTAATGTCGATTTGACAACTAATAGTCGTTATTTTCCCACTTGAAGACATTTTCAAGCCCCACCTTTTTTAGGGAAGTTCTTAATTAGTATTATCTTTCAAATGCAGTTGGAATTTAATTTTTTCATTTTTTTGGCCTGCAAATGGGACATAGTACCTTTAAAGGGATTGGGAATCTTTGTCTCAAATTCTGAAACAATATCCTGGATTTAGCTCATGCTGCAATGACAATTATAAACCTTAATGTCAGTCAGGAACCCTATGATCGCCTGTCTGATTATCGAGATATTTATGAATGGAAATGGAAATTTCTTTTTCGTTTTTCCTAACGGTTTTCATAACACGACAGTCTATTGGGGAAAATGAATATGGTAAAACCGGTCACTCAAAGAATATTACTTTTTTGAGGCACTTTATGATCATTTTGAAGCACAATTTTTTTAGGGCTTCAATATTACACCATATCACAGACACTTGGGCCATGCATCTCAGATTTGACATTGTTTAATGATGCCTGTAAGATAACTCACCCTTTCCATTGGGTATCCTTTCTGAAGTTCTCCTGTAAGACATCCTTGCAGATCGTGAATGATTCGTTGAAACCTGTAGGCTTCTGAGCAGGAGAGGGCGCACTGCCGATACGGGGAGAGTTCACCGAGATCTCACCGAAAGGAAGGCGGGTGGGTTGAACCACCGGTGAGCTGGCCACTTGTGCATATGTCATCTTTCCTCCTAAGTGTCAAAGAGGTACAATAGAATTAGAAATAATAATAAACCATATTCATTATGTAATCAAATACAAATGCATACATTTTGCTAAGTGCCATGTTACAAATAATTGAATTCACCTGTTACACATAATTTTACTTCAATAGTCATAATGCAAATTGCATACATTTATTGTTGCTAGGTAGGACAAACATTAAGATTATGGCATGTCCTACATAACAACATGGAATGTATGCATTATGCAATTGACATTCTGATCATTGAAATAAAATGATTCATAACAGGTGAATAAACAATTTGCAACGAGGCACTCAACAAACATTTATAAATTAAATTAAATTACATCAAATTGTCCTATTGGGTTTTATCTACCCAAGGTAGCCACATATCTGTCAATATTGCTCTACCTGCAGTCGCTGCAAATGTTGTTACCACAGTAATTGCCAGGTACCCATTTACACCTGGCGGGAGAGTGGAAGACATGGAAGGAAGACCTAAGGACGTTAGTGACTGGCTGGGATTTGAACCCTCCACCCTAGGATTGAGAGTCAAGTGAATGAACCACTCTACCTCAACACCACCACATCGAAACAATAATGATCATCAATACATCATATAAAATTATGAATGTATCCTTAAATACACAGAATTTTTATGGCCACCTAATTCCAATAATGCTCTATCTTGTGTTGTTATCTGATGTATCACTTTAATGTTTTATCATTTTACCTTATTCTGTCATGATTGTATTCTGTCATGATTATATTGGAATTGAATAAACTGAATTTAATTGAATAAAAATATATAGCAGACAATACATTTTACATAATTGGCATCATATTTCCTACCACTTTTAGTCAGTCTTACCACTTAAATCTGTGTATACCAGTACACTGGGGAAAAAACTGGGAACAAATGAATGTCCAAGTAATGAAAGTTGTGTGTTAAATAAGGAAATAACTCTTGTAATACAAACATGTAATGAACAGTGAAAGTGAAAAGATAAATATATGACAAAAGGGTGTAAAGGAAATATTCAAATGTATTTTACTTTTTCTTCTCTTAAAAATAATGGAAACTGATTTCCCCATGCCACCACAGGCAAAGTTTTTGGAGTTTACCTTTCATTTTATTCTTAAAGGTAGTACAAAAGTAGGACAGAATCATATTGCAAAGGTGAAGTGAACCATTCTGACCAACTATGCTAAAAAAATATACCTGTCAACGGAGAAGTAGTAGATTGAGAGTTTGTTTTTCCTTCCTCATCAAATGAAATAGTCCTGGCAACCCCGTCAAGAGAATGGATCGGTCTATTGCTATTCGATGCAGGGATCTTGACAACAGTATTTCCTCCAACAGTTAGTCTCACTGGCGCTGGTTCACTAATAGACACACCGGAAGAATTTGTTTCCGTTTCGGATTGTTCTATTGGTACTTGGGAGGTGGGACTTTCACTTGTTTTAGGAGTAATCGGGAGGGGCGCAATGCCGTCAATTTGCACATTGTCTGACGAATTTTCCTTCACAACGTCAGGGCTGGTGATGCTGACATCCCCTACTCTGCTAAAAGTGGAATCTTCCGATACAGGGTGGGTCACTGGTGAACAGGACTGCTCCACTTCTGTTGGAGGGGGTAACGACCGAGAGCTGACTGTTGCTAATGACTCTGCTGATGTAAACGGAGACCTTGATTTCTGGGGTGTTGGGACTCGCTGCGGGTGTCGACCATCGTCGGTGAAGGATGATGGGATACGTTGGGCGGAGCCTGATGGACTCCTCATTGCTCTCTGGGGTGTTATGATTCTCTGTGGTTGCTGATGTCCGTTGGTGCTGGGCGTTGCGATTCTCTGAGCTTGACCTGCAAAGAGTTAGAGTATAATAATAGGAACTAGATGGAACTTCGACTGCGCGCAGTCGAAAATGATGCCTCCGTCATAGAGCAAGTTTACAAACCAAAAAGCAATTTCTCATATACATATATGACCCTTTGATCTTTGACCTCATGACCCTAAAATGTACTCAGTTCATTGGCTCTGCAAGATGTCCTGAGTTATATAGTAATCCATCTGTCAGTTCTAATGAGAATGCGTTCACAAGCTATTTTTTGCATACATAATAAGCCCATGACATTTGACCTTTGACCTCATGACCCAAGAATCTACTCAGTTCATTGGCTCTGCAAGATACATACATGATCTAAGTTTGGCAGGAATCCATCAATCTGTTCTAATGATAATGCGATCACAAGCTATTTTTTGCATACATAATGAGCCGCATGACCTTTGACCTTGACCAAGACCCCAAAATCTAATCAGTTCATCGGCTCTGCAAGTAACATACATGACCTAAGTTTGGCAGGAATCCATCAATCGGTTCTTGAGATAACGCGATCACGAGCTGTTTTTGCATACATAATGAGCCCTGTGACCTTTGACCTTTGACCTCGTGACCCCAAAATCTAATCAGTTCATCGGCTCTGCAAGATACATACATGACCAAAGTTTGGCAGGAATCCATCAATCGGTTCTTCAGATAACGCGATCACGAGAACGGGACATACGGACGGACGTACGGACGGACGTACGTACAGACGTACGTACGGACGGACGGACGGACAACCCGAAAAAATAATGCCTCCAGCTACTTCGTAACGGAGGCATAAAAAAAATGTTATAAGGCTACATAAATCTGTTTCTTCTTTTTCTAAACGGTAACATTCTTGAGAATGGGGTTGGTTAGTGAGGCCGAGCTATTGCCATTGGAGTGGTTTATTGCTGTTCGGTCTTCATCCAGCCAATCTACTATCCACATGGTCTAATTTCCATTTGGTCTAATCTCTGATAAGTCTATGATCCATTTGATCTATTGCTCATTTATTCTAATTACCAGTAGGTCGATTCCAAGTTTGTCTACTGCCCATTTTGTGTACTAACCATAATATGGTATAATAATTATTTAATCTTACAAAAATGATTATAAGACTATATTGATAGTAGACAAACTAGGAAATGCTCTTAATTATTAGACTAAATGAACAATTAACCAAATGAGGGGTAGACTAATTGGAGCTTAGACCAAATGACTATTATCAGAAATGGTCATTAGACCAAATGATAAGTAGACAAAATGACTATTAGGCCATGTGGATAGTAGACGGATTTGACTAGACTTATTGTAGACGAACTGGTTGTAGACCAAACGGCAATTCAGTGTTGAAGCATAGAGCATGCGGCCTATAGAGGAACCAATCTTACATACCTATGTTTTGTCCATCACATTCAGGCATCCTGAGCGCTCTACCGTTAGCTGTCGGGGTGATACCCACCATGGTCTGACACACTCCAGCGTAAGAGATCCGTCGGATGGGCAAACACTCATAAGGAGGGGCTGTTTATGTTTAAAAAAGAGAACCATAATATTTCTGGAATCATTGTCATCTTTGAGTTAAAAAAACAAACATAGGTTACGACATACATGAGATACAGCCGGCAAAGGTAGTTTGCTATCAAGGTTGGATTTCCCATTAACAATTTGAAGAGATGTCAAGTTTCAAAAGTTTCTGGTTTGATAGAAGTTCGAAGTTTTGCTTGTTACACATTTTACCAAAAATATGGACAGACATATACAAAATAAATTATATATACTGTATACAGTCAGACCTATGTTTAGTGCCCGCACAAGGGAAACACAAAAAGTGGTCTTTATAGACAGGTTCCTTTAGTACATGTTTCAATGAGAAACCATGTCCAAGGGCAACAAAAATGTGCTTTTTGTAGACAGGTGGTCACTAAAGCAGGTTTGACTGTATATATAAATACATGTAGTATGAGCATGTCTCAATGATACTCAATTCATATGATAGATTAAGTTGGTAATGCCTGCCTTCAACCTACCTGTAGTCTGCTTGTCTTCAGCAGTATCTGGTGTCCTTACCGATCTTTTCTGGACTGGTGCTGAGTTGAGGATAAGAGAAATCAAGAAGGTAATTTTTTTTTTTTTTTTTTTTTTTTTTTTTTTGGGGGGGGGGGGGGGGGGGGGGGGGGGGGGGGGGTGGGGGGGAAATATTTGTTAATTCATTATTTTTTGGGTGTTTACAATGAATTATGATTTACAATGGGTACCCTGTAGGATGCTGACGTTAATATGGTTGAATTGGCACGTGAGCGCTTATACTTTTTTTAAAAATAATTTTCTCTCTCTCTTTCATTTTGTAGTGAGCAGGATTTGAACATTAATTTCTGCTAAGTCCAATGTGAGCGCACTTAGCAAATGAACTGTGAGGAATTGCAAATAGAAACTTCAAATGCAAGCACTTCAAATTTCTACATCCTTTGCTTCAATTGTGTATTGTTTTAATCTAAACATACCTTTGGGTGTAATCTGGACACAGCTCAAGACGGGGAGGTTTAGCAACCGATTAAAGTCCCCGACCTCTGCCTCCTCCGACGATCCTTCGTTGAGGCTCTGGTCGGCCCACATGACCTCTCTTTCACCTTCAACCTGCTTCTGGATGCATTCAAACTGCTCGATGAGGTCGGGGGTCAGAAAGCCAGAGCCCTTGATCAGGTAGTACTGACTGCGGAAAGCAGTGATCAGGTTTAGCATCAGCCTGGATAATCATGGGATTGGAAAAGAAGTCAATACTGACATGAATTGAAATTCAAAGAATAACCACTTTTCAAAAAGCTAAGTCTGACTCTGTAAACTCTCAAAAAATGCTTCAAGCAAAATAAAATAACAAACCGGTAAGGATACGGTAGTGCATTTCACTTTTCGGAATCTTATGGTTAAACCTTAAAGTTCATTCAGATAAGATGTGTCAAACCTTTGGAAGAAAAAAACACACCCCAAAACAAAATAAAAGCGTTGAATTTGTTTGTTACATGTAACGGAATGGCACTGTATTATGTGGACAAGGATTTAGCTCAGGCTTTGCTGAACGCAGCTAACTGTTTGTTCATCCCTCATACTATTCGTTTACATGTAAAATAAATTTATCAAACCTTGATGGTTTTGGGATGAAGAGCAGTTTACCAAGTCTTCATAAACAAGGCGTAATATGCTTTCTAAACACATAAGTGGTAGAATAATAAATATGTACATTAACAACCTGAAAACATAATGCCTCCGGCTACTTTGTAGCGGAGGCATACATAATGGAATATTAAATTAATAGTTTTCTCCCTTACTTTTCTGATGCTTTGATATGGCTCTCTTGGTTCCTAGCAAACTTCCTCAGATGCTTGGCTTGCCTTCGACCATCTTTAACCTCAATCTCTAAATGCCTCATATGTAGCGTGTCCTTCAGAACCTGCACAAGAATGGAAAGGAGCATTTTGATATTAAGCTAGCCTTTCCATTCCAAACACATTTGATTTTCTGCATTGCTGAATGTTTCTTGCCATCTCCCCTCATCGGTAATGATAAGGTAACTTTTATCTGTCTCTTCCCCCTTAATCTCTCTCTCTCTCTCTCTCTTGTCTCTCTTCTCTCCCTTCTTTCTTTCTCTCTTTCTCTCTCTTTTTCATCACTTAAACTCTCCCTTTCTCTTCCTTTTTTAACAAAAATTTCAATTTGATCAATTAATTTTTAAGAAATGTCAAAATGTTTGATTTTGTATTTATGTCATATTTTGTGTTATTTCAATTTGAATTGCAATTATACTGTATCTTTGTGAAATGGATCGCAAGTCAGCCATTGGTTGCGATGATCTTTTTAATAAACCATTTCTATTTCTATTTCTACAGAATTGTTTATGTCCAGTAGCCAACTGATGAAGGCTCAAGCATTGAAAAGTGGGCCATGTTGCATAAAAATTACAATTGATGGTAACTTTGCCATCAATGGCAACTACATGTACCATCAAAATCAAAATCAAGGTTTCCATGGTAGTTACCATTGATGGCAAAGTTACCATCAATGTTAAGTTTTGTGCAATGGGCCTAGATGTGATCTGAAAACGAGTAACGACATATTACTCTTAATATTACAATTAAGATGCTAATACAAATCCAACGTTAATTCACATACTGAATTGAATACAGCCCCTGGTCTATACAGTAACCCTATATTGGAATGCTGTCGTGATCCCTTGATCTAATTACCTGTGGCATGGTACCATCATCACTGCAGCTACTCCTCATCTCGGACGAGAGCCGATCGAGACCATCCTGATTCTCCTTCATTCTCTGCTCCACGCCAACCTTGCGATTCCTCACACGCTCCCGACGTACCGTTGCCGCGGCAATCACACGGTCTAACTTGGATATCGTCTGCAATCGAAAGATCGTTTGTAAGCAAATAACTCATGATATAAAAAAAACTAGAGGTGCTTTATATTTATTAACCTTTGAACTATACAAATGACAACGGCCCTCTTGCATGAAGAGCTGAGGTTAAACGCAACTAAGAAAATAGGGCAACTTGACTTTCAAACTGTCAGGATAAAATATTCTACTCTTGCGTTTACTTTTTGTGAGCCTTGTGTATATGCCTACACAGGTCTAGTATCCAATTAACAAATACACTTTCTCATATAATTACATGTATGTCTAGTTATTCCATCTATCTGGTACAGAAAAATGAAGGGAAAACAGTTAAGCTTCCATTATCACATTAATGACCTTTGACCTCATTAACTGACTTGATTTCTGTGAATGTGGGATATTTATAGCAAAATAAGCAAGATGGTAAAACAAATAAAATAATAATAACAATGAATACAAAAAATATAACCCAAAAATTTAATAATTACAAAAAAGACATTACAAAATTTGTTAAAAAGGATGCAAAACAAATATGAATTTCAATCATTATTCGTTTGTAGGCAATTGGTACCAATTGTCGGACTTTAATATTACCTTATCTCCTAACGTGCTCTTCCCATGCAAGACTCTGTTTCTCTCCACCAGAAGGGTCTTGCGCATGACCTTAGCGGTCAGGTCACGGTCAAACGATTCCAGCTCCAGGAGCTCCTTGCGTATGCTGGCTCTCTGCTGGAACACCCTGTGGACCTCCACCTGGAGACTGTCAGGGAGAGAGGGAGGAGGGAGACACGAACAAGAATTGGTTAAAGTGACTCTCTAACATTGCCTCAGATTCTGTAACAAAACCCTGGATTTAGCTCATCCTGCAATCATAATTATAAACCTTTAGGTCAGTCAGGAATCCCATGACTTTTACAAGCCGATCGCATGTCTGATTATCAAGATATTTATGATTGAAAATTGAAAATTCGTTGTTTGTTTTCCTAATGGTATTTATAACACTACAGTCTATTCGGCCCATTGGGGAAAATGAGTATGGTAAAACCGGTCACTCAAAGATTTTTACTTTTTTAAAGCACTTCTTGACCATTTTGAAGGGCAATTTTGTTAGGGCTTCAATGTTACACCATATCACAGACACTTTTAACACGTAGGGCCATGCATCTCAGATTTAACATTGTTAAACATTGCCTTTAAGAGAAGGGCCCTTTTTCATAAAACTTTGTATCAATTACAAATACTAACTTTCTATGAAATAATTGCACTCAGCCAATCAAATGCCTCGATTTCAGTAGCTTATAACACTTATTGTAACTTGTTATTGATAACAACTTTTATGAAATAAGGTCTTGGTAAAGGTGGCAAATAAATTGCGAGCTTTCTAATTCTTTTCACTCCTCTTGAGAGGGAAGGATATTATAGTACAGGGAAACCTGTATAATATATCGAATGCTCAAAGGAGACCAAAAAAGTGGTCTTCATGAACAGGTTCATTTAAAAAAAATCAAACTTAGGAGGTGCGATGGCTCAGTGGTAGAGCAGTGATTTTGTGACTGAGAGGTCCTGGATTCGGAAACCAGTTGATGTACTAAGGCATTAATCTTCATTATCTAGTCCCTCAGACAGGACTCAAAGCCGTGTGTCCTTTAGATGAGTTACCCTTTTTAGCATTAACGTAAAATCAAACCATCAAATGCTCAAAGCAGCCTGTATTCACTGACCTTAGTGTCCGTTCATTATCAGGTACAGTGGCTTGTGGGCCAACCGTTGCCATGGCACACGTTGTTTGCATCTGTAGTTTATCCTTCAATTCAGAGACCTAACATAATAGAATAAATTAACATGAGAGAAGAGATTAACATATGAGAAAATAAATTAACATTAGAGAATGAATTTCAGATATAAAGTAGGATGGTTGTTTCAAAAGAACTTTACTATTCCACTATAAAACACTTAGTGTTAGTCTGTTGAATATGTATTATGTAGATGGCTATAAAAAGCTCAAGTAGATTTTGTTAGGAGATCCTTGAAGGTTAGGTTATGCATGGCGGTGTGTATAAATTCACAAGTTTGCAGTTTCACCATGTGGGTAGTCCTCAGTAAGGACTGTTGGGTTTGAAAGGAGATAGAAAAGAAAGTGAGAGAGAGGTATACTTTTGGTTTCGTCCTATGGAGAACTAATAGGTATCATATGGATAAAGGTAGAGAAATACATTAAGAGAGGTATTTTTTTGTGAGAGCAGGGGTGATAGTGAGCACTAAAAAAAAAGGTTTTTTGTTTTCCTCTCAACCACACCCCCCTTGAGTAAAAAAAAAGAGAAGAGGATTCGCGGGGAAAAAATGGCATCTAACAACATTCCCCCCTTTGGAGTAAGAAAAAATAGGGGAAAAAATAGGGAAAAATAGGGAAGATTAGAGAAAATAACAGGGAAATAGGTAAAATCAGGATAAAATAGGGAAGAAGAAACAAAAATCTGGTTTAAAAAAAAAAAAAAAAAAAAAAAAAAAAATTAAATCGGGAAGAACAAGAAAATCGGGAAAAAAATAATAATTGGGAAACCGATTTAAATCAGGTTTTTATCAGGCCTGGAGAGGAGTCCTAAGAAGGACTGGTAACCCAGGTTAAGAAAGCAAAAATTGATCGAGGCCTCATCTGGGCCCTGTTTCATAAAACTTTTTATCAATAATAAGTGCCACAGATCTATGACAAATCTGCTCACAGCCAATCAAATGCAAGGGTTTCAATAGCTTATAACAATGATAGCATCTTGTTATTGATTACAAGTTTCATGAAACAGGGCCCAGGAGTGAATAGATGATGGCTGGTGCTGGGTTTAAGTAGCGGGTATGCAGCCTTGAGAAGATGGTTTGTATAATTGTAGCCTGTCTATTTTGCTGAATATCTACAGAAGCTCGATGGCTCAGTGGTAGAGCAGTGGTCTCAAAACCGGGAGGTCCAGGGTTTGAAAGCAAGTCGATGCGCTAGTGCCCTTTGGTAAGGCATTAATCCTCATTACTAAGTCCCTCAGAGAGATCTTAAAACCATTGGTCCCCTGGTTGCTTACTTTAAAGACGCATAGTAGTCAACTCTCATGGATAATTCGACATCGTTCAGGTGTTTACCCTATAACAGGTGTTGTCAATCACCAGGATTAGCCTTCAGTGTTATGACCACAATGCCCTATGTAATGCTTTGTATTTCTTCATCCATTTCTCCACGTAGTAAAGTCATTATCTCACTTTTCCCTCACCCAAAGACTCTCCAAGATACGAAAGTGTATTTCTTGATGGACCTACGGGTTCGCTGTGTGCAGACTTGTAAGCACATTAATTGTGTTTCCACCAAGTCTGGTGTCAGCGAATTATGGCCTTCTGCACATGGAAACTGACGACCCATGCACTCCCATTAACAGTCGGGTAGAATAAACAAACAAATAAACAAACAAGATATCCTCACCTCTGTCCTGAGTTCTTGGATGATCTGGGTGTACTTGGTGATGTGGAGGTCTAGACTAACAACGTTCTTCTGTAAGTTAGACTTAATCTCCTTGGCCCTGTCTGCGTACCTCAATGTGCTGAAGGTATCTTCATAAGAAAGGCTGGATGGACTGAATACAAACAAAACAAGAGAGGTGTCAAATTCATCCATTGTAAGCAGGGAAAAAATACACGGGGGCTCAGGGCGAAGTAGCCCTCGAAATGCCCAAGAGAGCCCCCAAAAGTCATAAAAGAGCCCCCAAAGTTCAATGCATAACAAATTAAAGGATGTTATTTTCATGGAAGCGAGCTTGAAAAGTAGCCCCTGAAATTGTTAAAGTAATTTTTTCCCTGATTGTAAGAAGGGTAAAATGGGTGATAATTGTCATAAAAGTTGAATGAAATGTATATGTACATGCAAAGTAGAATTAACTCTGCATAAGTAGAATCTGCTGGGACCACAAGGCCTGTATAACTTTCTACATCGCATGCGAGTACAGATTTTGCACCAAATTTCTACATACCAGTACATTAAAACTTGGCTTGAGCAGGTCAGAAAGATGACAAAATGTTAAAGTAATACATTTTTGTCTTCTTTTATTTAAAACTATTATTATATTGCAATCCTGTACTTAAAAGTCCACTTTCAGGGTTATTCTCAGGGTGTTTCCCCTTCTCAAACATACAGGTTATATAACCGCTGTCATAAATTTGCGATCGCGATCATGATCAAGTGACACTTGGTGGAGCCGTGGACAGAAAACGATGCAAAGGTCAGACATTCCTGTCAAAAAAGGAAAGAGTTTTCATTACATTGATGTTCTGTACATACCTCACGGCAGCAATCATGACTGTCTTGCAATTACCACCGAGGGAGTCCTTCAGAAGACGAGTCAGCTTGCTGTTCCTGTAGGGCACATGCTTGCCTCTGTTCTGTTTGTGACAAAAAGGAGAAAATAAATTCAATTGGAAGAGATAAAAATGTCAGGGTTCTGAGCTAACCATTTCAAAAGGGGGTACGGATCGATTTTTCTTTTGAGGCTGTAATTTATAGTGTATGCATGAGCCCTATGATAACTTTGAAATTTCAGGGGAGATATGTCACGCCCTGCAAAAGGAATGCCCATGTGTTCCAGGCATCTGTTTAACTCAACATCTTTTCTTTTCATCAAGCATTAAAGGGATAGTTGAGTTCTGTTGCAGAGGGCGCTACACAAAATAATTTTTTTGTGAGATAATGAAAAACTGAGTGTCAAATTTGAAAGAACATAATATTTAAATGACAAAATAATCTTTGTTTGATCAAAATCGGTTCAGAGACGGCAGAAATATAACAATTTCTAATACTTGTGTACCACCACAAATATTAGATATTTTGAACAATTTGAAAAAAAAACGTTGAAAAAAAACGAAATAACGCCTTTTACGTCGTATTTCAGCCAATGCAGATGTTGGCTTTTTTGTTGGCATTTTCGTGTTGCTTATTATTACCCACAAATAGCCGGCTCATGTATTGTTATTTTTAATTAAATAACTAATTAACGGTCACCATGTTTTTTTTAAAGTGGAGCTGAATTGGTATGATCGTATTGGCTAAATTTCACATATTTTGGGGTCTTAAATTACCTTCATAGCAATTTTAGGTTCTAAAAGGGCACTATAAATATCAGAGATAAGAATTAGAGCAATAACCATGCACTTCGAAGGCATTTGCGGTCTGAAAACAGAACTCAACTATCCCTTTAATGATCCCTTTGATTCTACACAAAATCATAGTCAAAGAAAAGTAAACATACCTTGCTATCTGCCAAGGCATTGATGCAGTTCCCGAGAGCTAGGAGAGAGCGATTAATGTTAGCGCCCTCTCGAAACCTCGCTCCACGGTTGGTCGTTACCGTTGCCCTCTCTGACCCCGCAAGGTCGATGAGAGACATCTTGGCCACTCGGACGTTGGTGCTGATGTTCGCTGTCCGGTCACGCTGTCGTACAAACACCTGAAAATTGAAGCAAGTTTTGAGCGTAAAATCATTTTGACAAATGAACGATTTTAAAGGAAAAGAATTTTTATCACGGTTCAATTCTTCTCTTCCCACTATGCTACAGGATCAAATTAACTATTATTTGCAACTTTGTACTTATTGCTGTCATGAACTTATTACTCTTAAAGTTAAAGTCTCCTCTATTTACTCATGCCCTCAGTTTAATCAGAGCCAGTGTAATAGTGTTAATATTAATAGTTTGGCTTTTAGCTAAATTCAAATGTTTACCTGAAAGACTGCATGTGATCTAGATGACTGCGCATTGGCATCGGTCGGGTGCTGGGTTCGATTAGTGTTACCATACTCCAGCATGCTGAACAACTCCTTGGCATTTTTAGGCTGATAAAAAAAAGGAGAAGATGAAAATGAGCAAAAACATCAGAATATATACTATCGAAAATAATATCTCTAGTGATATTCGTTTGTCTCGCAATGTGGTCAATAAGGAATCTAAAAGTTCACGACGTTTCGTGTGCATCTGCAACACTTCTTCTGGTGATAATAACTACTACTACTGGTTGAGTACCGTATGCGTCGGCCAATAGGCCTGGTGCATTAGCCGAACCAGCGGCCGAATCCAGCGGCCTGGTGATTGGTCGATCACCGTGTGCGTCGACCAATAGGCATTGTGCGTTATTGTTCCAATTATCGATCGAATTATGGACCGCTCCGCCGGTCCTCCCGTAGAGTATAAAAGACCCTTGCTTACAGTAGTTATTATCACCAGAAGAAGTGTTGCAGATGCACACGAAACGTCGTGAACTTTTAGATTCCTTATTGACCACATTGCGAGACAAACGAATATCACTAGAGATATTATTTTCGATACTGTATCCGCAATGAGTAATATATTTAGCATTAAAGATATACTATTCATTACCAGACTCACAAATTTCACACAAGAACATAATAACAATAATTAAGTAATATTGACTGCCTTCTGAGCAATACGACATATATCGCCCAAACCGAAGGTGAGGGTGATATATGACAAGTCGTATTGCCCTGAATTAGGCAGTCAATATTACTATTATTAACCACATCAGACATCTAGAGCAAACAAGAAACTGTTACTATCTTATACTCTTAAATTATGTAGGCTACACAGGGTTTCCTAGCATTAGAAGTTGCAAAAACATTGTCAAACCAGCACTGTTCATCCAGTGTTTGACATATTTTCGATACACTGCAAACAGTTTGCCTAGGGTGTGATTGTAACGTCACAATAGAGTTCGCGCAAAGTGCGCATTTTCTTATACGCGATGCGCAATGTAAATTACAGTAGCTGATGCGCGATGTAAATTACAACTGGCTCTATATTATTGCTCACTAGTTTAACACGCATTTTGCCATTGACTTTTCAGAGCGGGCTAAACTATTTGTTCATTGGTTTACTGTATAACCATATTGACCGTCAAATTACCTTGAGGGCAATAACATTTAAAAATTGCCCTGCTCAGATGTCTGATACGGTTAATAATATTGGATATTTACACAACGCACATATCCACCATGCATGGTGCTCAAGCCGCTCCAACTAATAACCTGGCTATGCTAGGCAGCCGATTTCGGCGCTCACAGCATTCAAGGAATTCAATTGTACCGGTACCCATTTAGCACCTGGGTGGAGAGTGGCAAATGTAGATTAATATCTTGCCAAAGGACATTAGTGCCGTGGCGGGACTTGAACCCAAACCCTGTGATCCACAGCAGTCCAACGACTTGTCCACTAGACCACAACACCTCTACATAACAATCATAACATGAATAGAGTTGTTTTCAATGTCTTGGTACATGTATAGTGGTTCACTAGCTTGACTCTCAATCAGAGGGTTGAAGGTTCAAATCCCAGCCCGGCACTAGTGTCCTTTACCAAGACATTAATCCATATATGCCACACTCCGCCCAGGTGAAAATAGTTTATCTGGCAATTGTTGGGGTAATAATCATTGCAAGGTCCTCAGTAAGAACAGCATTGAAGCTTCCGGTGGTAAACAAAATTATTATTGTTGCAGGAAATTGGATTTATACATGTTTTTCTTATGCCAATGACTTTGTAAAATTTGCATAAAACTGCCGTTAAAAATACGGTGAACGAAAAGTAGTTCCTCAATTTAAAAGTTTGTTTTGTTATTTTGAGGAAGAATTGTTATATTTTCAGTCTACCGTACGTAAAAAAGGAATAAGATTGCATATAATGTGTAATAACTAATTTTTACTTCATTCAAAAGGTGTTTGTAAAAGAATAGCAAAAAGAGGAAGGATATTTTGTTTATAGAATTGTGATAGGTCCTTGTATGTGGGCGCGGGAATCTGCCATCATCCTACAAAGGGTAATTTTCCATTAAATCAAACCAGCATCCAAGCATTTTTGCATCAAATGAATCTCAACAGAATTTATCTATCCCTTTGTGCTAATTGTTTTTGTTTGCCCGAAACAAAATTGGTTTAAACTTTAAAACCTTAATAATGATCTTTTACCACTGATTTTCTATGGGCTGCCAAAGGGAAGAAAGAAGTTTGAAAACTTTTCTTCGGTTAAAATTAAATAGTGTTTTATTTTTTTTGTTTTTTTGTTTGCATCAGTTTTTATATAACCTTTTTGGCTGCTTATAGGCATTTAGCAATTTACCTCAAAAATAGCTCAATAGATAAGTTACAGGTAGTGAAAGTCAAGAAAAACATACATTTTCAGTTGTGTTTTGAAAATGATCTATGGAATCTAACCTCCTCGGATACAGTGTCAGAAGGAAGCGATGAGTTCCAGAGAACTGCCATGGGCCCTGTTGCATAAACTTACCATTGATGGTAACTTTGCCTTCAATGGCAACTACCATCATGATGGTAACAGGACTCAACAGCAAATCAAAATCAAGGTTTCCATGTTAGTTACCATCAGCTAAGGATCTTACCTTGTGCAAGGAGAGTCCACTGACCACCACTCCCCTCTGGGGGTCTTCTCTGATGGCTAGGTGTCCGGACGGTACCAACAGGTCCTTTACTGCCTCATTGTAGATCTAGAGTTTAGAGGGAGACAGGAGAGAGTGTGAGAGAGAGTGAGAGAGAGAGAGAGATGGGAGGGGGTGGAGAGAGAGAAGAGAGAGAGAGAGATGGGGGAGGGAGGGAGAGAAAGAGATGGAAAGAGAGAGAGAGAGATAGAGACAGAGAGTGGGAGAGAGCTCTGATGAGTATGAAATGTAATCATGCATTTTATCATTTGAACTGTTTCATCCTCTGACAATTCATTTTTCATTTTCTCACAGCTTTCAAGAAGTGTCTGAAAACACATCCTTTCTCATTTCTTTTAGTATTCCTCTCTCTTTGTATTTAATAGGTTTAAAATAACATTTGTATGATAATGTTCCTTTTCTTTGCTTATTGGTGAGTATTTCTTGTTTATACACTTTGTAGCTAATGAAAAGGGGCGTTATGAATACAATTATATTATTATTATTATCATTATTATATGATGATCCACAGCACTCGTATAGCACTATTTATCTGTTTCAAACATTCAAAGGCGCCCACTTCTCCAAAAGTCATGTCGTTCACATTTGCTTGAAAAGATATAAAGTTCAAGATGTCCTTGGTTAGTGAATGGGTGCTGGCTACGAATATGTCCACGTACCATCAATTTAAAATTTTCTCTCAAGGCCTAGCTTTATTTCATTAATTCAGGGAAAAAAAGAAGCTTTCAGAAAAATAAACATACCATAACTGCCAATCTTTCACAGCAAAAATTAGGAATCTCTCAAGGCAATATTGTAAATACAGTCTTTTTTTTTCCTTTTTACACAAAATATTTCAAAAAAGAGAGGAATAGTAGGCCTACTGTTAAAGCTTCTATGCCCCAAAATAGGAATCAATTCTCTAGAATAGGAATGGTTTGCAGCTATCACTATGAACATGACGGACAAAGAAAGAGGACAAAATATACAGTTCCTCATTCTACCCTCAACAATTGCTGTGGTAGACAAAGGAACATCCCTTCACTGCTATTATGTAAAAATGTGTAGAACAGGTGTCACATGCATATTCACCTGTTCTACACATGTTTACATAATAGCAGTGAAGGGATGTTCCTTTGTCTACCACAGCAATTGTTGAGGGTAGAATAAGGAACTGTACATTTTGTCCTCTTTCTTTGTCCATCAAATTCATATTGTATACACATACCTCCAGGTAGGAAACGGCTACATCACAAAGCTTCTCTGATTTTTCGCTAGAAATCTTCTGGTAGAGCTCCATGACGGTAAGGAACATGATGCCAGGTTGGTTGGGTCCTCCCAGCATGGTGAACGTCTTGCCTGCTCCGGTAGCACCATACGCAAACACTGCATCAAATAAGAAAAACAGATACTTTAGCAAATACTTGAGCCACTGGCGTACCTATGGGGGGGGGGGCAGGGGGGGCAGAGTGCCCCCCCTGACGGGCTCCAGGGGAAAAAAAGAAAAGGGAAAGAAAAGAAAAGAAAGGGAAAGGAAAGAAAAAGAAAAAAGGAAAAGGAAAGAAAAAAGGAAAGAAAGAGAAAAAAGGATAAAAAGGAAAGAAAAAAGGAAGAAGAAGAGAAAAGGAAGAAAAAGGGAAAAGAAAAGGAAAGGAATTTCAGGGGGACGAGGAAGTGAAAACATTTAATACAAAATAGGCTAGCAAGCAGTTCGCGCCAGCGAAGAGTTTCAAATTTGTTATATCACTTATATTTTCCTATTTTCATTTGTTTTAATTTTTCAGGGCCGTATTCGGAATATTTTTCTGATGGGGGAAGGGGGAAAGATGCGTTAAAAGTTTTCGAAGAATCTCAAAAGCAAAAGGAGTGAAGGGAGTTCGAGCGACCGAACTGGTCATGAGGGTACTTTTGCATTTTCAAAAGTAGAATTGAAGGATTTGGTATAGGCCTACACTACATTTTCAGGAAAAAAAATAAAGAACGTGGCCGTAAGCACCAGGGGGGGGGGGGGGGGCAGTTGACCCCAGATATTTTTGAAATCGTACAGTTTTTTTCCTGAAAATGTAGTGTAGGCCTATACCAAATCCTTCAATTCTACTTTTGAAAATGCAAAAGTACCCTCATGACCAGTTCGGTCGCTCGAACTCCCTTCACTCCTTTTGCGTTTGAGATCCTTCGAAAACTTTTAACGCATCTTTCCCCCTTCCCCCATCAGAAAAATATTCCGCATACGGCCCTGAAAAATTAAAACAAATGAAAATAGGAAAATATAAGTGATATAACAAATTTGAAACTCTTCGCTGGCGCGAACTGCTTGCTAGCCTATTTTGTATTAAATTTTTCAATTCCTCGTCCCCCTGAAAAAAGAAAAGGATTAGTATTGCCTAGAATACAATTGTGCCTGCCCCGACGGGCCCCGACCTGCAACCATGGCAACAATAACACACAATATATGTACCAAATGTTACTAAAAGAGACTAATTCATTTTTCTCGCTCGCTACACACTCGCTCGCGAATAAAATGAATAGACATTGCTTTGGAAACAATTGTGCCCACCCTTTACCTGCAACAATATCATTAAAAATGGAAGAGTTTTTTCGCCCTCTCGCCAAAAAGGAATTGAATCGCGTTGCGTCCATCCTGACCTGCACCAATAAAAACAAGTTTATTTATTAATTTCTATTAAAAGAGAATTTATTTTTTTTGCTTGCTCGCTATGCTCGCTCGCCAAAATGGAATTGACACCGCTAACGTGCCCGCCCAAACCTGCAACAACCAGTTAATAATTATGAACGAAACGTTATTCAAAGAAGTTTTGGTGTGCTCGTGCTCGCCAAAACGGAATTAACATCACCTTAGACATGATTGTGTAAGCCCTGCCCTGCAACAAAAAAATCTGAAATTTATGAACCAATTATCATTACAAAAATTTTGCTCGCTCGCTACGCTCGCTCGCCAAAATAGAAATAACACCGCTTCTAATAATCACGTCCCTGACATGGAACAATTAAACCAAGTTTATATACCATATTTTCCCTATAAAGAGAAGTGATTTTTTTTTGCTCGCTCGCTACGCTCGCTCGCCAAAATAGAATTAACACCGCTTTTAATAATCACGTCCCTGACATGGAACAATGAACCCAAGTTTTATGTACCATATTTTCCCTATAAAAGAAAAGTGATTTTTTTTTTCGCTCGCTACGCTCGCTAGCTCGTGGAATTATGTGCCCACCACTAACCTGCTACAATATCATTAAAAAGAGAAATGTAGGGGGTTGCCTGCCCGCCAAAATGGGATTGACATTGCCTTAAACACGATTGTGCCCGCCCCCTACCTGCAACAATGAAACAAATTTTATATAGCAATTCATTGAGAGAAAGATGTATTTTCGCTCGCTAGCTAAAATGGGTATAAAATCACCCTAAACACAATATTGTTCCCGCGCCCTGCATGGGACAATTGAACCAAGTTTAAGTGGCAATTATTAAAAAAGAAGTGATTTTTTTTCTTGCTCGCTACACTAGTTTGCAAAAAAATGAAATTAACGTCGCTAACAAGTGAATGTTCCCACCCCAACTTGCAACAATACCAGTTTATATACCAAACGTTACTTAAAGATTTTTTTTTGCTCGCTCGCTCTCTCGCTCGCCAGAAGTGAAAATTAGCACCGCCTTTTTTGTTTGTTTCGGTCGCTTGCCCCCCCTGACGGAGTACCCAGGTACGCCACTGCATCAGCGCTCGTTATATTCACGCCTTGTTTCCTTTTAGTTTCCGTTTGTATTGTCCGATTTCGGCTTTCTGTTTCATTCTTGCGTTTTACTCTGATGAGTGCAAGTCGAAAAGCTTAAGTCATGGCTCTCTTCAATGCTATTCTCCGATTTTGTAGTACTAATCATCTTTTCAAATACTTTAATGAATTATGCTAATGGTAATTGTTTTTCGATGGTATAGCATTTCTCAAGCTTTGAAGAAACATTTGGTGCAGTCAGAGAACTTGTACTCATTGCACACAATAACAATTTATTGTTTTCCCTTTTTTGTTTTTCCTCCTCCAGCAACTCTTTTCTTTTACAGCACTTGGTAGTCAGTATAAAGAGCTCTAATATTAATAACGAGGTATCTACAGGTACATGTATAACAAGGTGATGTTGCTGATCCCAGCTATTTACCAGTACATTCTTTTGTTTTTATTACCCTGATATAATATGATTCCTGATATAACAAGGTAATTTCCATGGTCCCAAGGACCTTGTTATCAGGTGGTTCCACTGTAGGCCTATATACTTCAGCAACAACTCTTTTCAAAAAATAAAAAGTATAATTCCTGAACAGGAAACTCGAATCTAAACAAGGCTAGAATTAGGGAATTAGTACACTATAGATGTTTATATAATTTGATTGCCTGGGGAAGAGACATCTGAAAGAATTCGTCACAGAGTAAATAGTCTCATCTAGAATCTTTAATTTTTGATCACCTTATAAAGCAAAATATATTTCTTTCTCTTTTCTTACCAGAACAATTATATCCACTGAGGACGCTGTCTACAACTGACTTTGTTGTGTGTTCGTAGACATACTCCTGCGATGCTCCCTCCGCAAATATGTGGTCAAAAGCAAACTGCTTGTCGCGATTCTTCCGTCGCATCACGTTACGCTGCCTCACGCGCCTTCCACGAAAGTACGACGGCGAACCTTCCTCCTGCGGATCAAAGACTAGTACCTGCTCGTCGAGCGGCCGAACGACTGTACGGGCATTTTGAGCATCTCGTTCGCGCGAGTTCTCCGGACGGATACGGATGACGACTCGGATGTTGGTCCGTTGCTCGGAATCTCCCGATGCTGCTGGATGATTCTTGGTAGATCTCTCAGCCCCTTGAGAGCGTCGTGGTGGTCGCATGGTTCTTGATCACTCACTTCTCTGTCTTCATTGAATGATTAATGGAGTCCTTCATGTAGGTAAAATGGAAGCAAGAAAAACGAGAACAAAAATTACATTAATTGATATTGCTTTTTATATCCCGCATACAAAGAATCTTGCAAACTGATTGGTCTAAACGAGGTCACATGATAAAAGATAGATAACTACTATCTACCTGAGATAGTACTTTTGTAAGGGAACTTTTTGCTGCTGCCCCACTTGCCATTGAATACGCGTAGCAAAGTAGGTTACGCGAAATGTCGATGTCAAATGAGCGCGCATCGACTTTGTTACACTGTATGCATGTTGCGCTTTGTAAAATCTAGCTGAAGCTAAACTGTCTGCAGAATCAGTTCTTTTAATTATGTAAAATTCACTTTAAATAGACCTTATTGCCGAATGCCGATGTGGGATATAAAACAAATATTAACCTCCTTTACTCGGGCAATGGATACAAACTATCATCAGTGATCTCGGGCTACCATCATCCCTCGCCTTGCGGCTCGGGATGATAGTAGCCCCCCCGAGATCACCTTGGCAATGATAGTTTGTACCATTGCATTACCCTCGTAGTCAATTAATATTTGCTTACCTACATGTACTATATTCTCAACAGGGGCCTATTTCTTGAAATTGCCATGTCTAACTTCCAGAGCTACCAAGTATCACGCATTAGGCGTGACATCAAGCATTTCGAGGGTCTGAAAATGCTCTTACGCACGACGCGCGTGCTAGATTTTGAAAAAATGCTATACCTTATACGTGTGTTATACCCTCGCACACCGATTCATGAAAATGTCACGCATTGCCGATCTTTGAACTTGGTGTCTCTGAACTTCTTGACTAAATCAGATACATGTAGTACGCTACTTGTCCGCTACATGTTTTTTCAACGGCTGGTTCAAATTGTCGAATATCTTTGGATATTTCAGCCGTCTCTAAACCGATTTTGATCAAACAAAGATGATTTTGTCATTTAAATTGTATGTTCTTTAAAATTTGACACTCAGTTTTTAATTATCTCTCTTTGACCATCCAACTGATAATAGAACCCGTGCCCATGGCCATCGATACAAGATCGTTAAGAAGAAAGTCTACTCGAAGCTTAGACATGGATCATTTTCACAGAGATGTATCAACATGATCAATGAATGGAACAACCTCTCCTCTGTAGTTGTGGAGAGCAAGTCACTAAACAGCTTTAAATCCAATTTGTTGAAATTTTGGTCGTCAAGAAAAGATCAATTTGACCCAGAGGAGTCCTTCGCTTGTCCATGTTCGTCAATTGTTGTATAGGGTCTAGCGCCACTAGATCTAAACATGTGTCAAATATGGATTCTTCATCCGAATGTCAATTACGAGAGGCAAGTAAGTTTTAACTTTAAATGCCTAGTCTACTTCCAAGGTGTATTTCCAAGGTAGAAATACACAAATTATTTTGTGTAGAATAGGCCTAGCGCCCTCTGGCTCTGCAACAGAACTAAACTAGGCATACCGGTATCCCTTTGATTCAATGCTGTATGGACGTGTGATTATAGTTCGAGGGTGACAAGTCCGCTATCTCAAAAATATGTAAGATTTCGAAAATCTGATATCACCAATCATCGAGGCATAAAGCCACAGGCATGCAAGATGGCGTTGGCCCGACCCTGCCTGCGGGCTGCATGCCGGGCTGGCCCCGGGTTTACACCGCCCATACCCGGCGCTACACTCCCACTGTCCCATGGCAGCTGCAGTCACAGAAACAATCACACAACGTCAACAAACACGTTTTGCCCACCATTTAACGCAGTACTACACAATATACTTGAATTTCATAATTAACAACAGTTTTTTCATGGTAAAAACATGCTTTTGCAAACATAAATCATAAACATTTGTAAAAGATATGTTGTTACTTACCAATTTTTAAATGTCCACAGCGTGCATACGTAAACAGTTGATCGCATCTGTTGTATGAAACGTTTAAAGCTACCGCACTTGTCGTCTATTGTGATTGGCCAATCAAAATGAAAGCTGTTTCCTGGTTGGTCAGCTTATCGATCAGCTGTGTACGTGAGCGTCAATGCAATGCATGCAGTGACTGTAAACGCTCGGTCAAGTATCAAGTATCAAGATTATTTGTCTTCCAGAAACACATGTGACAAAATATAATAGAGTATAATCATAACAGTACAATGTAGAATAGAGAAAGACGAGAAAGACCTTGGTTGAAGCACAGCCCCCTCATATGATGTGACAAAGATAACTGGGGGGGGGGGGGGGGTGGGGGGGGGGGGGGGGGGGGGGGGGGTGGGGGGGGGGGGGGGGGGGTGGGGGGGGGGGGGGTGGGGGGGCCTTTTGTAACAGGACATTTTTATTTATTTTTTGGTCCCGAAATTTCCGCTGGGGGGGGGGGGGGGTATTTTTAAGGTCATCCATTAGATTTTTTTTTATATAATATTTTTAAAAACAATACTCAAAAGGGGGGGGGGTCCCAAAAACATACACATTAAAAAACTCAAGGGGGATTAACCGCCCACCCCCCCCCCCCCCCCCCCCCCCCTGCGTACGCGCCTGACCACAGCATGGATGACTACAACAAGCTGACACTAAATTGAGACGGTAATCAATGAGTCAAGAACGACAAGTAGGAATATATGGTATAATTATTTATGTACAGATGGAAAGAAGAACGAAAAAAGAAAAGGGATAAAGGCCGGGATTATGTCAAAGTCAAAATAACGAAAATAGATCGAGAGTAGAGTTAAATATGCTACAGTATACGAAAAATAAAGCTTGATAACACATTCATGTGTCATCGACATACTTGTGAAGTAAATATGACTTAAGCTTATCAACACTAGTTTGGCTAGGAGGGATTAGACCACACAGCGAGGTCGCTGACAGGTGGCTTTCTCGCCGACTCAGCTCTCAAATACATAAGAAATAGAGGATCATGGGGACCAACAGGCACCAATTGGGGAAGTTTTCTATATAGAGGGAGCAAGTAGCTACAAGTAGGACAGTACTCTGGGCTTTAATTTAAGTCTACGTTTAAAAACTGAGATACTTGAAGCCAGGGGCGTAGACAACGGGGGGGATGAGGGGGATGCATCCCCCCACCTCACAATTAGGTGGGGGGGATGGCATGTACAATCATCCCCCCCAGGTTTTTGGGAATGATATTTGCTTACTTAATAAGTCATAATGATGATAATAATAGTAATAATAATAATGATAACAATTATAATATTAATAATAATAATAATTATGATGATGATAATAATAATCCTCATCATTATTGTAATTGTGTTCATTGTTATTAGCCGCATTCACACGGTGAAAGCCAATACAGACGGTAAAAAAAAAAAAAATCTTACAAGTATTTTGTGGTTATCTTGTGGTTTAGATACCACAAGATAACCACAAGATTAAACAGGCGCGGATCTACGGGGGGGGGGGGGGTTAGGGGGTTTAACACCCCCAACCCCCCCCCCCCCTTGGGCGGCCCAAAAAACAAACAAAACTAAAAAAAGGAAAAAGAAAAAGAAAAAAAAAGAAAGAAAAAGAACGCACGCTGGAGAGAAACCTTTCAAGTGCAAATTTGTGTGAGAAGATATTCAACTCATCTGGTAACTTAACCAAACCATGATAACTCTGGATATAACTGTGTATCTAACTGTTACTTGATTTAAAAGGCGTTATCATGCACTGCTTTTTATGGTCTCCATTGTGTTAATAGATGCCAGGAAAACATCACTTACGGGGTTCAAATAAACACCCCAAAAAAAATCGGCTCGCCGCTTCGCGGCTCGTGGCGACGATGCCCGCATCGTCATTATATTGGCAAAAAGAAAAAAAATGAGCAAAAAGCTAGATCCGCCCCTGAGTAATACCCCCCAGGTTTACGAACCTGTCTACGCCACTGCTTGAAGCATTTGTTATAGTAGTATCAAATAAATTCCAGAACCTGGGGCCAGGGGACATTAGAGTATTCAGAGTGAATGTTGCCCTAGCATATGGTAAATGGAGAGCAGAAGCCTGTCTAGCCATAGCTGTGAATTTTGTTATTTTTCTTCTGAAGATTTGAGCAAGGGCAGGAGGGGGGTCTGTTACACCCACAAATGTAATAACTCCCACAAATGTAATAACACTTTACCCACAAATGTAACAACACCCACAAATGTAATAACACTTTACCCACAAATGTAATAATTTAACCCACAAATGTAATAACCACTTTACCCAAAATGTAATAAATTTGAAGTGATATTTTGAATCACCCACAAATGTATGACTTTACCCACAAATGTAATAATTTGAAGGGATATTTTGTCGAATTTAAAACTAAAACCCTGTAATAAAGCATGGGTATAACGCGCAGTCTTTGCTCCAGACCCGGTTATTTCAAAAAAATTAAAACATCTTCAAAACTAACCCCACCATCTTCCAACTAAGACCCGGTAATAAGCATGGGTTTAGAGCGTAGTTTTTCTTCCAGACCCGGTTATTTCAAAACTTTTAAAAAAATCTTCAAACTAAGACCCTATCATCTTATTCCTATGGAAGAACTTCTTCTTCTTCTTGATTTGGTTTTGTTTGGCAATCAGTCACAGTTGTTTTTTTGCCACACACTATTTTATGAATTATTTATATATATACATTATATGTACAATTTCATGTCATAAAATGACTATTTTTAGGATTCTTTCTCTTTCATCCCCTTTCCTTCCGCTTATTTTCTTTTTAGACCTTATATATATATATATATATATATATTTTTTTTTTAGAGAGAAAATTCAATAAATTAAAAAATTGGAAAGAGATGGCCTAGCCTAGCGAGTGTTTACGCGCACGTACGTGCGCGTTAAAATACCACCTCTCTATGCACATGTGCACTTCACAACGCACCCCCACCCTTTTTAAATGCCATCTTACCAGTCTTTGAGGTGCATTTCTCAGACTTTCGGTTTTAACCTAGGTCACTCCGGCATAGGTGAGGGGGTGCCAGCTGGCATGTGATGTTGGAGGCGATCACCGAATTGTTAGAAAATTAAAAGGTCAAAGTAGTTACAAGTATTGTGGGCTTTATTGGTGCAAGAAAAAGGAAAAGAGAAGATAAGAAAGAAAAAGAAAAAAAAACATAAGTATTGAGCATAGTCTTTCCTCCAGACCCGTTTTTCAAAAGTTAAAAACAAACAAAAACAAAACAAACAAAACAAACAAAAAAGACCCCTCCATCTTCCAAATTAAGACCCGGTAATAAGCATGGGATTAGAACGTAGTCTTTACTTCAGACTCGGTTATTTAAAAAAAAAAAATCTTCAAACTAAGACCTCACCATCTCATTCCTGTGGAATAACATGGGTATAGAGCGTAGTCTTTCCTCCAGACCCGGTTATTTCAAAGGAAATAGAAATTTAAACAAATCTTCGAAATTAAGACCCACCATCTTATTCCTCTTTTTTTTTCTTTAAAACAATAAATTACATTATTACATATGTGGATACAACACGTCACAAATATGATTGGTCGGCGGTCACACGAACTGACGAATCAGTCAAAATAGTCCATATATATAACATGATTTCTTAATCATGTAAATATTCTATTGTAAACAAACAAAAGGGTATCACTGGATTAAAGAGCTTCCTCTCTTATACAAAACTCCTAAACGAGGACCCGAAAGAGGTCCTTGGATGGAAATCTCCTTTCGAGATTTTCTTTGGTAGGAACCAGAACAAAATTATATCTCCCGTCAAAAAACAAACTATACTATCCATGGTTGGGAAAAGAATGTACAAGCTGTTCGAAGAAAGGCTTACAAGGCTTCGCAGCGTGTAAACAAAAGAACGATTAGGTCTTGGATGCAAATCTCCTTTCGAGATTTTCTTTGGTAGGAAACCAGAACAAAATTATATCTCCCGTCAAAAAACAAACTATACTATCCATGGTTGGGAAAAGAATGTACAAGCTGTTCGAAGAAAGGCTTACAAGGCTTCGCAGCGTGTAAACAAAAGAACGATTAGATCCCAGGAAAAAAAACTTAATGTACCAAACATACCAGATCAGGTAAAGGTTGTTAATATTCTTTACCTCATTGTATAATTAAAATAATTATTTCCTTTTGATCATTCATACTTCATTTCAACTCCGTCTACTCTTAAAACATCTGAAAAGTATTACTGAAAAACTTTTGGAGTTGTACGTGTTAAGTAGTTTTATATGGACGAATACTAAGTTACAGAAAACCAGGTACATTTAGTATTTCGGCATCTTGTTCTCTTTTTTTTTCTAGCTTAGAAGAATTGTCACGTGTTAGGTTGTTTGCGTTTTATATCAAGTTCAGTTGATGTTATCAGGTTCAATATTGCCCAAATTATAACCTTGTTTGCTTGTAAAAGACATGTGAGTTACTCCACCTTTTTATACGTAATAATTATTTTGGTTCTGTTACCGTCTGTATATTAATGAAACAACCTCTTCATTCGTTTGGAATAAATACTTTCTATCTTACAAAATCTATGTGTCCATCATTGCATTTAATACTATAAACCATAACCTCTGCAATTTACTCACATTGATTGAGAGAGTATATCAGTGGCGGATCCAGGGGGGGGGGCCCGGGGGGCCCGGGCCCCCCCCCCCCCCCCCTTGAGAAAAAAATCATGTAAAATCACGTGATTTTTACCTTTTTTGGGGTTGGGGCCCCCCCCCCCTGGCGCTCAGGGGGGGGTGCAAATTGAAATTTTTTTGAGGATCAAAAAAAAAAAATGAGCTCTCTACCCCCCCCCCCCCCCCCCCCCCCCCCCCCCCCCCCCCCCCCCCCCCCCCCCCCCCCACTGAGCGAATTTTTGGCCGGCGCGTTTTTTCAAATTTTCGGGAGCAAAAAAAAAAAAAAAAAAAAAAAAAAAAAAATTGAGGATCAAAAAAAAAAAATGTGCTCACTACCCCCCCCCCCACTGAACGAATTTTTGGCCGGTGCGATTTTCAAATTTTCGGGAGCAAAAAAAATAAAGTTGGGCCCCCTCCCCT